CAGTGACGGGCGGCAATTTATATCGGTATCGTCGGTTTTGACGGTTTGCACGCACCATGATGATGATCAACCGCAAGTTATCATTCGTAGTATAGCCTGATGACGTTGATCGGCGGTAGGCGTGCTGGCGAAGTTATTCACCTTTAATCTACAGATCGATGCCGTGCTAATATGTTGTGTGGAGTTACTTAAAAGCATGGTGTGTTTATAATTGATTCTATATTCTACCAGCTCTCGCATGCAACATATGGCAGAAAGAAACGCCATCTGTTTTACTGTCTCTGTATGATTGACGAGTTGGGAGCTTGAAGGCTGAGAGACGGTTTGCATTGCTCGTATCACCAAATATGCGAACAATGAACATATTGTGCTTGTAAAAAGCACTGATTCAGGTAATGTCGATCCAGTAATCTCCTTCGTTATTTCCGGAGAATTTTTGTTCAGATTGTTACTGAATATTCGAAGAAGCCTTGCTTCAAAACTTTTGACTGATTACACGAACCAACTGCTTCCCTGCAGAAACTGTCACGTACAAAGCAATGGCCCGTGCTAGCACCTTCCCCTGGATTGAAGGGATAATGGCGGTCCAAGCTTCCAACTCGACAACTGTACATACAATCGCACTGTCTACGACTGCCTTTCTCAGTGAAAAAACCCAATCCAAACCCAGCTCGAATGAAGACCCATCAACACATCTTAACGGCACTTTCTCTATCAACATAGACTAAGGTACATCATCAGTCTTCCATTTTTCCCTGCACAAGCAAGTACCAAAACGGGTCAGTTGGTTGTGGACTTCTCTGACATGGTTAATGGCAAACCAATAAAATGCACGGAACAACCGCTTCAATGTCGCGGTCAAGGACGCACCGACTTGCTCGCAGGCATGGATTGTCAGAATCGTCAGGAGATTATGTTCGACCATTCTGAGAAATGACGCTAGCAAGGTGCAACCAAGACCAGGAGGCATGTATTGAGAAGCTCACCTCTAAGAAAGAGCCTTCTCGATTTGTTTCCTGGCCCTCCCATAGATATCCCTGGAGCTCTTCTCCAGGCTGAAGTTCAGCTTGTTTAGGCCAGCTTTGGCCTGCTCCTTGGCATCACCTCCACCCCTGACCAGAAAAAAAAGCTATCTTAGATACAGCCTTTCAAGAAAATCCACCTTCGGTCTAGAGAAAGCACCAAACAAGAAGTATACATCACAGTAATTGGTAAGTTCCAAATGGCGTTGCCAAATATGAACTTATATTCTTCTCTGATTGATTGCACTTCGCACTGGGAACTAAGAAACTGAAGTGGCAACAGTCCCAGTGGTTTTGAGCGAACCCAGCTGAGGAATTAGGGTTTGTTAGGACCCATTCTCTCGAGTGGCCTTTTCTATCTAGCCAGAAGGCGGACGCAAAGATGATACATCTGTTTGCTTATCTAGCTTGGTATTGTTTACTACATCATCCTTCGTTCTTTTGAAAAGAAAAATCTACATGGACTACATACCGGAGTGTTTCTCAAGGGCATGGCATTGTATGTTAGATAGTCAGCAAATTTAAAAATCCATAATGCATACCTGCCAGCACTAAGCAATCTCAAAATTACAGTAATAAACCTTTCCTCTTGAAAGGTGCACACATGATGGTTCATTTTTGATTTCAGGTTCTGGCCCTGATCCGATTGACTTCCGAACTCGATTTGCTCAACTTATCAGATTAGGGTTGAGCTTTGAGAGTTGCTAACGAAGCATTACCTTGTTCGCCTCAGACTCTGCCTGGGATTCTGGCCACTGCATTCTTCCACACATCAGAGGGGAGGAGGCAAACCAATGAATTACCACATTCGACGAAAAATAATGTCCCTTACACATAGTCCCTAGATAAGAGCGTAGACATACCTGGCTGCGCCCCGGTCGGACTGGCTCGGATCCTCCCCCCTGTTGCCGCCATACCTCGGTGGTGAGTCGTTGTTGGTCAGATCATCAGCAGCTTTGAGCAGGTCATTGGCCTGGCAAAAGCGAAAATTCGACAATTACTTCGACAGTCAAAGCCCTTCGATTGTAAGTCAATGAAGTTCTCTGAAGTAATGGTGCGGTCCGCTTATGGACAGGTTTTTGGTATGAATGAAAGCAACATTGCGTAAGATTAGAATTGATGTAGTGCTCAAATTAGCATCCGAAAACCCCATATTTTGCAGGGGAAAGTATCGAGCAATCAGCGCAACATGTCCACACCATTACTTAAGCACGCTGAGGCTGGGAAACAATGCTGTTTGAAAAGCTTACTGCATCCTCGATTACAGGCCCCTAGCATCTGCAAATCCTCAGATTGACTTGAAGTAAAGACACTAGCCTTGCATTTAGGCAACAATTTGACCTACATTGCTGAGAAAGTCAATTCACTTCCGAACGAGGAGGCTGTACGGCTGTTAAGCTCACCTTGTCGCGGACCTCCTTCCTGCCTTGGTCAGCAAGCGCGGCACCAGCGCCCATGCTAAGGGCAGCAAGGGTGGCCAAGAATGCTCTCCTGGGCTGGGCGTTGTCAGACTGCGGATACAAACAATAGTTTGTCAGCCCAGGCAGGTTCTTGTGTTGAGATCTCAAACTCTCACACAAGAAGCCTGCGGATGTCTCCAGCTCAAAGGATTTGTCCAATGAAAGCACAGAGCCTGATGGAACACCAGTCGGCCTTGAAAGGCGATAATCGAAGTTCTGGGTGCCACCCAATCAAAGCCTTGACTACCAGGCTACACAAGGCCTCCCAGAGCAATACTGCCCTTTATTTGAAACACGAAAGTGCATCATCTCAGTGACTCTATCACTGCATAGCTTGAGTCAAGCAGCTCGGATATGCAGCTCTCCATACTTGAATTAAAAGCAATTGGTGTTGCTTTCTGGCCTCATTGCTGGCAGCAAAGTTCATTCTATGTTGCACGGCTTCGGTAGCTAATCACAATTCTCTCACTGGGGAACTGCTATCTGTGCACAAAGTTTCTAACGGCCTTGCCTCAAGTCCCCGCAATTGCAAATCCCAGTGGACTATTAGAACAGTGATTGTCAGGCTCATAAAACTTACGGCGCTAGCACGGACTGCAACATTCCTCCTGGGGGTCATCTTGACCGGGGCAGGGGCCTCGAACCGGGCAACCCTGCTGCTGGAGATCGAAGCACCCCTCAGGCTGGAGGGGGCGAGGGCTGTAGACATCATAACGGAGGAAGCCATGTCGTGTGCTGAGGAAGACAGGTGCAGACACTAAACTGGCGACAAGGTTTTGAACTTTGCTAGCTGAGATTCCAAGAATGATTTGGGGAGGAAGGGTGCCCGCCCTGATATCTATATACCGTAACTGAAAGGGAGGAATCCTAGATACCTACCTGCGGAGCTGGCGCCCTAGGCGGGCTGATAAGGCAAGCCGCACTTTATTGGCGGCGGCCGATTGACCCCTTGTCAGCACGACAAGTGGCGATGCATGCATTGGCCTTTCCTGATAAAAGCGTGTGCATGTGTGCCACGTAGCACCTTGGTTCTTTGAGGCAGCCATCCGCATGCCACGTCAGCAGCATCACGATATCGACGGCTTGAAACGTAGATGGAAGGATGAACCCTTTCGTATACGGGGACCACCATCTACGGCCTGAAAGGGCATCTGATTCGATGGACGGTAACCGGACGTCGAGGTTTGCGGCCGGGCCGCGCTGAATGCAAGATCACATACCTAAAACGATTGCAACTCATTGCAAGTCGTCTTTTTGATTGGAGGGGCGATGCTTGCAGCAAGAGCGGGTGTCTGTGATCAGCGATCAGTAGCATTCTGGATTGACTCATCCTATCTACCGACCAGGCTTCTTTTCTTCTACTAAAGAGGTGCCAATGACTCGCAACATGGCACAGGGGCACTGAGGGCGGCTGTCGGATTCATTTGCTATTACTCCATGCACGCAGCTATATGGTTGCATCACAATCATGCGATGATCATAGCATGACCCAACATGGACAGCTTCAGGCTCAACGAATCGAAGAGCAGAGACATACGTATGATCGAGAAGAGCTCTCCGAATCCCCGCGGTGCACATGCGCACAATCAGGCTTTATTTGTCAACGGGTATGATTATATGCCACGGTTGTATACAGATGTCATTAATTGTAGTCCTGCGAGAATTCTGTGTACCACAAAGTATAGGAAGGGCCGCGCAGCATGGCAGCATAGCGCTTTGTACTTTCCATCATGATTGTTGCATGGGATGGTCAGATTGGATTGTCAGATCCTAATGCACCTCATTGAGTGTTGACTCTCTGCTTGAAGCACCTGATTGACACCTTGAAAGGAATGCAAAGCGAAAAGCTCGAAACTGACGTTAACAGACATAGAAGCCGAGCTCCCATGGCATCAGATGGCCGTTCATGCCATAGGATGATGTCTGCGAAATCAAAGATGTTACTCACCGTTTGTAGCTCAGAATTACGGTTTCTCTAGATTTGGCATGGTGTCCCGACAAGTAACCACGCTTTGGGAGGTGATAATAAGTGCACATAGACGAGAGAATGACATCAAACCTCCGTAAACCATTGAGGGCCTCTTTCGCAAGCGGCTGTCTCATATGTGCGACATCTTATGTAAGATGTAAATATAAATGACGTCTTCCTAATGCGGCAGCCCTGCTTCACCTTATTCCGACAACATAATGAATAGCTCTTCGTCCTTAATGGCACCAAGCTCCATTGCGCGCTCTAGCGGCGTTTTGTTTTCTGTGTCCGTAGCAGTGGGGCTCGCTCCCCTGCAAAGAAGGAATGCCGTATCAGGATTAGTAGGGCGTGTCCCCTTAGCTAACAAGGGAACATATCTTTGGAGTCGAGCAGCGTTCGAGTGATCACCGATGCCTTTGCCAAACCAACACTCCGATTGCTGCAAAAAGCCAGAGCCGTTCCTCCGAACTCCGGCTTCGAAGCCGGGTTCTCTAGCAAGCGCGTCTCATGAGGAGCAGTCATGCGGAGGAGTTGCTTGTACGTAAAGAGATGCCGCGAACAATAAGATCCCGGTGATGACTAAAGGATGACAAGCACGCAGAAGCTTCATTACCATCCTAGTGAAGGAACTTTCAAAGATCCATGACATTGCGTTCTTACGAGAAAAGCACCGAGAGCCTTTCAGGAATCACCTCCCCCAAATAACCAACAAACGGGGATTCAACCGAGGACTTTTTGCGGAAGAAATACGGACCCTTCCTTCAAATTTGATGAGAGCGAGCTGGGACACTTCACCTGGACAGCAGGAGCTTTGCCGCGGCGTTGTTCCTGCCCATGATGCAGTAATGCAGGGGCGTGCGCCCCAGCCCGTCCCGCCTGTTCACATCGGCCCCGTACTGTAGCAGCAACTCGACAGTCGCCAGCTCCCCTAAACTCCCCGCCAGGTGTAAAAGCGCACACCCGGGCCCCTCGGCCAGCGACCGTTTGGTGAGCAAGTCGGGCGATGGAGGCGCTGTCGTAGTCGGAGTAGATGCTTGCGACGACACGTTGCTTTGCGGTGGGGGGGTCTCCGGACTCAGCGGCGCACCCCCCCGGTCGAGAACGAGCTCCTGCGCCACCCGCCCCGCAAGCGAGCCAACGTCGTCTTGACTGCTTCGGGCAAAAGCGCTTGGGCCGTCCATAGCCGATGACGCGGGCCGGCCATCAGGATACGCGTCCTCGAACCTGGTGTTGACGTCAGCACCAGCCGTCACAACGAGCTGGTAGATTCGCCGCTGGTCGCCCCGCTCGACCGCCTCCCACATCTCCCGTTTGAGCCACGTGGGATGGGCTGTCTCTGGAGGTGGACCGGCCACAAACTGCTTGTCCGAGTACTGCACGAAGGCCGGAGAAACAATAATAGCGCCTTGAGATATCCCCAAACGATCATACGAAGGTTTGCGCTCGACTTTCCCTGAGGTTCAACGTTGCTTTTCCGAGTGCTGCGCGATGGCTCTGGTTCGATGACTCACGTGGCTGAACATGTCTCGATTTCAGCAAACCATCTCTGGATGACTGAGTCTATCCACACGACATGTTGATTGCTTGGATTGTTCAATTCATGTTTCCGTCCAAATGCACAGAGTCAGAGATGTGATGATATCAACCCCACAGCATTCAATCCGCACGGATGTTCAACGACGCTTTCGGCCAAGCTGTCACCTCAATAGCAAAACACAAACGGCGCAACCCGGCATTAGTCCGGGTAACCGCTGGTCGTGCGAACCCCGCCAACGCCGTGACAAAGCATAGATTTGAGGGTCCGCTCGCAAGAAAGCGGCACACCTTCATTTGGATGAACTTTTCTTTGACGACCAGCGGCTCCTTGGGCCCCGGCTTGATGCTCTTCTGGCCCTCCTGGATTCCCTCCTCTAGTTCCCGCAACTTGTGCTCCCACAACTGCGACGGGGGAAGTCGAAATGTGTGAACTTTTGTCAAGCAGATTGCATTCAAGCAGACACCCTTTTCGATACGGATTCAATAAAGAGGTCAGCGATGCCTCGCGCAGGGCTCATGACATCAGGAGGTCTACGAACCCAAGAGCCTTGGGTCGCAAGGCGAAGGTTCTGAATCCGTTCAGAAGAGCATTCAGTGTTGAACGTCGCAAGAATGTTCAGAGAATGCATCGCAAAATCGAGAGTCGCTTGGGGGCTCATTTGGGCGGATGACAAGCAGCCGTTGTTACTTTCTCTGCTCGAGTGGATCTTTAAACGTTCCTTGATCTCCATGCTCTTGAGAATTTCGGAAATCTCAAAGAACGACAATAAAGGCCAGATAGATACATCCATGACAAACCCACAGAAAATGCACGATTTGAGTCTGTTGCACGTACCTCGTTCGCAAACTGGTTCCCCGTCGCCTGGAACAGCCCAATCACCCCCGCCTCCCACACCTTTACGTCCAGTGTAGTGGACCGCACTTTGGACAGGTGTACACCCAAGTTTCGGTGCACCCCCGAGCACTCTATGCACAGCAAAATGCCCAGGTTGAGGCTCGCCCAGTCGGGATCCGGTGCGCCGCAGTCGGCGCAGAAGCCGTTCCCCGGGATCTTGCGCAGGGTTTCGAGGGGCTTGTTGAGCGCGGGGCCGCTGAAACGCCGCCGGAGGGGGGCCCGCGAGCCTGGACAATGAGCGGGGGGGGAAGCGTGAATACAAGCGGGAGCGCTGTATGATCGTTGGAATAAGTAGCTTGAGACCGTCAGCTGAGGAACCGAGAGTATTGGCAGAAAGTACTCTCAAAAAATTTAGCAGGTGTTTCAAGGATAGCGGTCGTCGGGTAGGCTTATGTAAGCTCTCAGACGACCCTGCAACCGGAATCACCTGAGAAGAGAATCAAGACTCGCAACCCACAAATTCAAGAAAAGGATAACAATAGAGAACGAGAGAGTATCGGAGGCAAGCTCTTCCTTCAGCGCCAAGGAAGCTGGAAGCAGAATTAACCGTCATGCGGCCCTGGTCAGCTTACGATCAGGACCGGATCCAAGGTCGGACAAGACTGCAGAAATGACGCACAAATCAAAAGAACGTCATTCAGACAGACCATTATCAGACAGACCACAATCCGCATATACTGGGTCCCAGGCGGAACGTCTCACCGTCCGATCCTGAGGTCCCCGCTTGCTCGTCCATGGCGTCTGAAAACGCGCGGCTGTGGGTTCGGTAAGGGCCGTAAGGGGAGCCGGTCGGCGAGCGTTGCTGCACGCAGACGTGGCCCGGTTAGGAGAGCAGTACTCATCAAAAGGCCGTGACTATTAATAAGAAGTGCCGCCAATCGCTCGGTTGAGTGTAGCAAGAGTTCGAGATTCAGCCATTTCTTCACAAGCTGCTCACAATGCTTTGAGCGTCTTCTTTCGAGTTTATTTCAGCGGTTTGACATTGTACAGGTGAGAATCCGATGTGGCTCGTGAAATGCCAGCACGTTAGAAACTCGCGAAGGGGACACCTGACAAGCTAGCAATCCTTGACTTGCTGCACGCCAGCCTCGAAGAGCGAAGGGCGGAACGGTGTCAAGACGTCCCGTCAGCAATCTCTGACTCTCGAGTTTTGGCGAAGCTCAGCATCTGATAAAAGCGAGGGCATCCAACAACAGTGCATCGACCGTACAGCCCACCACAACACACCGCACAAAACTTCTCTGACTCACATCTCCTGACAGTTGGCTGTTGAGCAGAGTCGCAATGACGCCCTGGATTTTGTCCATCCAGTCGACCCGGTCCGTCGCGTTCTCTGCTTGGAGGGTGTATGTTTTCTGGGGCGATACTATGCGGAAGCAGAAGCGGAGGTCCGTCTGCTCCGCGTCGTTCTTGATCGTGGACGTCAGCAGGTTCACGGTGTGGTGGGCGATGGTCTTTTCATCCTGCAAACGAGTAAGAAGGTTGCGTGTTTGTTTCTCACATTCAAACTCAGAACCTTCAGCACCTTCCAAATCAGTTTCTTAAGTGGCCTTAAACACCGCAATCTCCGGGCTTGGTTTGACTTCAGCAAGTCATATCATTTTTTTGCCAGGCCTCTTGATGTGGGCGTTACTTTCTTCGTCTCCGATAACTTCGGCAGGATGCCTGGTCTGACCTTCCACCTGCATAAATGGAGAGTGATAACTTGTGACACACCCATATCCGTATCGTTGGATCGTCTAGGATATCAACTGCGCCGGGAAGCCTAGAGTTGCCTTCCATTTGCAGACTTCGGAGATGTCACGGTGTGACGAGTAATTCAGGTTTTAGAAGCCGGCTCACCGTGGCTTTGCCCCACTCTTTCCGGTAGTAGTAGAGCATGCCCCGGCTATCCAGCACGAAGAAGCGCCGCTTCCAGTCACCACGCAGGTTGTTTGATCGTTTCAGCAGGTACCCCTGCTTGAGCATCATCACCTGGCAGGAAGAATGGCAATTGACATCGGGCCTCGCATACCCGACTATTCATCGAGCTGGTCCTAAAAAGGTTCGAAGAAAATTGGGCGTAGTCATATCATGCATTTTCTGGAAAGTGTCGTATAACCATGGCAGCTTTTCACCATCGTCTCCTTACGACATAACAGGCACCTCACTTCAACATCAGAAACAGTCCTGAGAGTCTGTCAAAGTAAATAGAGTGCTGCTTAACTTCGGAAGCACAGATTATGACTTGAAAGTGTTCCAATACACACAAACACTGCCACTCGTTTCCTCTTGAGTTCACAAAGAATCTTGAGAGAATCCGGCCCTCCCGTCGAGGCCTACCTTCCCTTTGGGTGTCGAGTTCATCATCTTTTCGATGAGGTTATTGCTCTTGCCGACCATCTGCATGCCGTCCCCTCCCGTTGCCGCCCCGTGCACCTCGCTCAGGCTCTGCATGTTGCTCCGCTCTAGTTGCCGCCGGTACTCCGCCATCTTGTCGCTCAGCGCCGCCTGCTCAAAGTTGGTGCGCTCGCGCGACTGCTGCGCATACGTCAGCACCTGGTGGATATACGGCTCCATTGCGTGTAGAAGCTCGTACGCCTGGCAAAAGAGGTGCACGGTTTGGAATCTTGAATGATGATGGGGAAATCATTAGGATCGTTTTAAGCGGCGCTTTGCGACGCCGCGCCGCGATCCCGCCGCTCGACCTGCTATGCAAGCTTGCGGATGGCGGGGTTTCGACGACGAAACGCATGCGGTTTTGAAGCCCACGTAGTTGCGTCCGAATTTTTTGAGACTGGCCCCGCGTGCGGGCACACATGTCGGATTTCCATTCGAACATCCGGTCGTATGGTGAAGGCAATTTATCCTGAATCTTGGCTTGCCAGTTCAAGAGTAAGATCGCTTCGACAGCTTCAGCGTTGAAGTTCGTGCACGAAGAGCACTACCGTCCGTCAGAACGTGTGGCTTACTTGGTAGGAAACCTGCGGACACCTTCCTGAAAGAGGCGAGCCCAACCGTTGGCAGACGACAGATTACAAGGATTCTGAAAACAGTTGAGTTTGAGGGTCTGCATTCCATCACGACAACCAAGTGTTGTGCTGTCAAAATGCAAACTGATGCCAAAGGAAAGTGATGGCGCACCTGCTTAAAGTACCGAAGGTGGGCATCCATGGTTCCGCTGACTGCCTCGAGGAACTCGAACTTCTTCTTCGACTCGGCATTAGACAGCGCCGTGACCTGCAATCAGTACCAGCTCCAGATGTTGTAATAGGTGCAACGCCGACCTGATTTGTTCAACAAAGTGAAAGCGACCATCGGGTTGGCAGGTGGCGTCCGATGACGGGAAACTGTGGAATAAATTCGGCGTTCAGAAACCTTTGACAACTCTCCTTGAGTGAGTAAGAACGAGGGACCATTTTAAGAGGCCGACGACTCATGCAACTCGACAATCCTGGCGGTTCGACGACGACCTTTCCTGTTGCCCCGGATTCGATGGCCTGTTCCTGCAAGAACTCTGTGCTTTTCAAAAGATCGAGTCCCTGCTAACTATTCTCCACCTCCGCTCCTTGACACCTGGTCCCGAATTTTCCGCTGAAAAAGCTAAACCGAGCGACAGTCTGTGTTCGCTTACCAGGTTGAAGCGGCACTGCTCGAAATGCAGGCGCGCGTTCTTGACGTCCTGCTCCGCTTCGGCCACCACCTCCGGCTTTGTGTTCTTCTTGAGCGACAGAAATTTCTCGCGCACGCTGTCGTACTGGTAGCTCGCCTTGTCGAAGTTCTTGCGAGCGTCCTGCGGGGGCATGCGAAGTCATTTCAGCCTTACAAGTTGCGGCCGAAGTATGATTCTGTCTCAGCGCAGTGAAGCCAGGTCCCAACAGAATCTGTGCAAAGAAGAAGTGGCCAATCTCACAATAGAATTTGACTTGTATTCGACCTCAGGATATAAGCCACTCCTTGTTTGAAAAGGCGCCAGCAACAGGGTAACCGAACACTTCTCGCAACAAACCGTTGTACAACATCTGTGTCACGATACAAAAGCCTACATATCCCATCTCTCCGTCTTGGCGACCGTTCTCTCCCCTCCACATTCTACAGATGTAATGCCACAAAGAGGTGCAGGCACGTTCAATAACAGATATTAGTCCGGAAACCAATCCATTTGTCGTTCGTTGCGAGGATCCCGCAGATGAATTCGCCTTGCCATCCTGTAATTGCACAGAGTATACCTATTGCGCGCCTGCTTTCTTGCTCATAGCCCGAAGACCCAGGCAATTCGGTAAAACTCCGGCCCACCAAAACCCTTCCTCACCTTGACGTCCTGCAGATCGACGGCGACAAACTGGTGCAGCCGATCGTTCAGCATGTGCTCCACCTGCGAGCGCAGTACCTCCCGGTACGTCCCAATCTCGCGCAGCGCGATCGTGAACTTGGTCATCACGGGGCCTGCAACAGGCGGTCGGCAAATCTGAGTAATGGCTGGGGGACAAGCCTCTGTCACCAGCGTCCATCTTGTTGACATTAACAAATTGGACGGTTCAGATCGCCCCGTCAGATGGCATACCAGAGCTCCTGATCACGTGGCAGGTCCTAGGTGCTAACAGCTAAAGCCCAGATTGCACTCTTAGACTGGCTTCATTAGGGTGAAGATCGAACGGCTGTGACAGTGTTTCAGTCATCGGAGCGGGTCTGCGGTCCGCCTGGCAACCAGAAACTCGCGAATCTAAGCAACCACTCCTGATAACAATATGGACGACCAACTCTCGAGCTATTGCAGTATTCCGGAAGGACAGCTGACCAAAACACTTGGCAGCAACCGCTGCGTAGGCATGCCCGTTTTGAACGGGGGCGAATCTGTCCATCACCAGGCCCGCCACAGCGTCTGCCATTTGAACAGTTCTTTCCAAGAAGTAGTTTACAAGGTACCCCCACCTCCCCTAACTTTCTTATAGCTGACACGTGTTTACAAGTGATAAGCTTTTATTCAGAACGAAACAGGGCATTGACCATGTGTCTAGTTTGTGGGGTTCAATAGGCCCTCGTTTGACGACAAGCATCCATATGAGCTGAATGTTGCCAGGTGCGCAGCACATGCGAGATCTTGAGCTCGCACAATCCAAATCTCAGCGAAGTAGCTAGTGCCCTTCCTGCCCACTGTTCAGGGCAAAGCAAGAGTCAGACCAGATCGCACTCTCCCCCATAATGGTCAGAATCCTGACCCACCATCCATCACATCCAAAAGCCCTTGGAGGTAAGCCCAGGCGCTCACCTCCAACTGCCACGGAGATCGGATCATCATGCCCGCCCCCAAACACCTCCAGTGCTTGGGCGAATGCAATGTCCCCATCGTACGCCTCACCGAGCCCTTCCGTGTACTTGCGACAACCCTGTGGTATGGGCACGCTTGGTTGAAATAGGATAAAAGGATTTCCAAGGAACTCTTGACAGGTGTCCCTACTTGGAGTTTGAGCGGACGGAGAATTATTCCTGAAGACTGAACAAGAAGCCACCTTGCACTGGTTAGAGTCTTGCTCTGGATCATAAGTTTATGAGCAGCTCAAAGCTCGCAGATATAGCAATCTTGTTTCTTTCAGAGTTGCGAATCCATTACGAGGAGCCAGTGCCGAAAATGTGGGCGAATGCAGCACTTTGGCAAATTAGGGTTTTGGCAAACTTGGAAGAACTGCTCTGCTTCGTCTCCGATTGAAAAGCCAACCAGCTCCAACAAGAATTGACCGCTCAAGCTAAAACAGCCCTTAGGGACTGCCCTAGCTGATTTAGAAGCTCGTCTTGGCTTCAATTGTTAAAGAACTTGGACTGCATTTTGCCACTGCAGTGTGTGAAGTCAGCAGCACTGAATGGATTTGCTGTGACATTGACTCTTTTTGAACGGTACAGCTGCCTAATCAACTTTGAACAGAGAAAGACTCTCATTGCAGACCTGAGCTCTGGTCTCACCTTGTAGAAGCGATTCGTTCTCTCCCGCAAGATTTCTGTGCTCTCTTCCAGGCCTTGCAACTGCTTCCTGAACATGGGGGAGTCATCGAGCTTGGCGAAATGCATGGCTGCTTGCCTCCCTGCAACCGCAATACTATGTATATTCAAAGTTTTTCCAAATACTTATGGGCGCTATGAACAATAAACAAGAAGAAGCGTCTAGGAATGGGGGTCCGTCGCCACGGAGATCACAGGTCAGCCTTCACGACACCTGCGCTGAGCTGTGCCTCGCTGATGCAATTGCTGTGGCCCCATGCCAATGGGCGCTACTTGAATGATCTTGGCTCAATGGACTACCGTAGCTTGCAAATGAGCTGCCTTGTCATTGAGCATGAGCCTGCTGAGGCCCTCATGCATGACTCATGCTAGTCATGGGCTCATGAGTCACCGCGTGCCTAGTTCCCCGATTCTGGCAAGTGTTCACAAACGGAGTGTTCACTTAAAGATAGGTACCCGGGGCACGGGTAGGGTTGGCTTGGTGGTTCGGGTGGGCTGGGTTGCGGAGCGGGTGATTTGTAACCGGTTAGGTTCTTTAGTTTTGTATGCCCGGGGCTTCTGAATCTTGGTGAACACTGCACTTCCGTTGCCATTTATTAATAATACGTTCCCCCGGCTCCTGTAATATACATCTGTCAACTAGCGTGCGTCCGGTACGGCGCTCAGAATAAAGCAGATGATTGGAGAGTTGCAAGGAAAGTGATCGGACGGTCTGAATTGGCAATTGAGCTTAAATACTTCAGGACCCATTTGACCAAGTTTGCCACGTGGCAACATGTTTGGGATGATTGCAGTCGACACCCTGGCTAGCCAATCTGCAAAACGCCAAAGATGCGGGTCAAGGAGGTCAGAGAATCTCTGCTCAAATTAAAGTGACACCGACATCAACCTGGGGCTGACGTCTTCTTCCAAAAAGTGATCCACTTTCTTCATAGCACTTCTCAAAGTCTGACGAGTGCTTTTTCCCGAGATCTCTGTTCCACATTCAATGCGGCGCACAGCATTGCCTGCCCCGTTGTGGCCCTGGCATTCTGGTCAGACGCAGCTGAGATCTGTACGAAACTGCGATTGTGAGAAGGAACTTCTCCGGGGTGTCTGAGATCTTGGTTGTGCAATGTCTTGGGGTAATTCAAGGAAGCAATGCACTAACAGGGAGTGTGACTAGAAGGCTTTGATAACATGAGTGTCGAGGGTTCAGCGCCGTTGTCTTGTAACATCGTATGCTTAGCGGAGATTCTATCAACTCCCTGCATTGACTGCCACTCATTTGACAAAGCATCCAGTTGAGAAACCTATCAAGTAGCTACACATCTGGCGCGCAGCCATAAGTAGTCTGGTATAGGGGTCTGCGTCTAGGGCAGCAAGTGCCAGAGGCGGACCCGGTTTTTCAAACTCCGGTGAGTTATGGTCCTGTCAATCAGTGTATGTTGCTTGAATCGAACTGCACACCACTGAATCAAAAGGTTTCTACTGAGCAGGACTATGCTGGAGTGTCGGGCGCTCAAGTAGAATGTACGATTTGAGGCGCATCAGCTCACCACCAGTAGGCGGAGTCTCTTCATCAGAGTTCTGCTTCTGCCTCACTTTTGGAGGCGCCACCAGTTCGTGGCCCCAGAGAAGGCAGACACATCTTTGCAGAGGCGCTGTTTCTGGGCACTAGCTGCGTGCTTCCTCAACGATGAAAGCCCATTTGATGGGCCTTTGTGGCAACTCACAATTTCTGAAGAATGCACCTTGTTTACAGATTGTTCCCAGCTGCGCTGATCACAATCGTGGAGTGTCATGGTAGCTCCGTATCGATACCATCAATCATGGTGCCTTTCCGCCGATTCACCCTTCTGCAAGAGCGAAACGCTATCCTCGCCTTCGCAGATCTTGAACTGATCAGTGCACAACAGAAGCCACCACCGCTGCATCAGCAGCGCTAAGAGTTGCTGACGTTGGCGAGGTCGGCACTGGGGCCATCATGAACCGGGGGAATTTGGGCACCGTCGGGGCCCTGTCCCTGTCGGTGGTTTCGTCAGTGTCAATAGTGCTCTGCAACAAGCAGCTCATGTCGGGGCTGGGCTTCAACTTTGGTGAGTGACACCGATGCTCATGAAACAAGTTGTGAATTCTTTAGCCACAAAGTTGTCAGAGAGATCTTCAAGAGTCCCGCAACTGAGGCTTGCCTTTCCATGCCTGAGTCAACGCGGGTTTTGACAATCATTCGAGTCTCTTGAATCTCAACACTGGTGGTGTTTAGGTGGTTGCAACTGAATACTTAGATACTGGGGCGCCCAGATTACACTGTATTACCACCACATCAGTGTTCTGTGGAAGAAGAAACTGCACAAATGAAGAAGGGCTGTCACGTCATGTGGCAAGATTGATCATTATTCCGGCGAAAGTGTGGGTTGCCTTGATTCCTGCGGCGCAGTCTGAATCAAACAGTGCCGTCAATCAAGACAAGCCTCTCTGATTGTTGCTGTGCAAGCTCTGCTGTCGCTATCTGTCCTATTACAGGAGTTTCAGAGCTTGTACTGTCAGTTTGCCCGGCTGAAACCTTGCTTCAGAATGATTGGTTATGGGAGCCCACAATGAGGCCGGTGCCGTCGCTTTCTCGCAGCAATAGCAACTATGGATGTCCAGGCCGGCACTCAGGAGTTCAAAAGAATCAGCTTGGATCCTCGCCTGATTTTTCGAAATCAAAGTGGACCAATCATGTGGACTTCATTCTATTAAAGGAAGAGAAGCTGATGGCTCCTTTGTCTCGCAGCAACAACGCTTACCAGCTGGCACTTGCTCGTCACCTTCATATTCTTGCATTGCGCACGTTGGTTTGAGTTCTTTGAGCACAAGTCTATGGAACCGAGGATGCTAGTGGGCTTTGGGATCCTCAACGGCATCTCGATAGCGCTCCTCAATCTGAGCCTGGGGTTCAACTCCGTGGGATTTTACCAGGTGGGCTTCTCGACACCTGGCCAGTAACGATGTCCGTCGACGATACTCTTACGCCATCATGTATCGAAATAGTGCCCCCATGACGAGCTGTGATGGTTATTCTTTACTTCAAGTCTTGCTTGCTGATTGGCCAATCGATCCGGCAGGGTTGAACGACAACAACGGGCAGTTGGGCGATCGCTCTTGCTTTGGACGAAGCCCAATCGAACGTAGCCCAAAACTCTCAAATCAGGCAGTTCACTTATCGTTTCCCGTTGAACAGAATTTGGCGGTGGAGTCTGCGCTGCTCGTAGTCGCTGCTGGATACAGCCCTGAAGCAAGCGACCAGTGACACCGTTGCAACCTTTTTAAGCAGCAGGAGTCCTGAAAGCGGGAGTCTCGAGTTGCTATCTGGGCGCCTTCGACCCTTGCTGAATCTCTCTTCCATGCCTTAATGGGGATAAAAGCTGCGGTTAAGACAAACACTGCAATCAAAAGTGAAAGTACGGCGGTTTCCCTACCGGCTTGCGTGTGCTCCTTCGTCCAGATGACCAAGCTGGCCATCATTCCGTGTACGGTCTTCTTAGAAACGGTCTTCCTCCAAAAAGTCTTCAGGTGAGGCCGTCTTGGCAACTTCTGTCGCCACTTCTTTCTCGTCAGGAGTGAGGATCATTTAGCCTACCGAAAATATACTAGTAAATGTTTGCACTTCTCTATGGGCTACCCGTCTTTTCGACGAGACCTGACAAGTGAGCGAAGTGAGGGGGACGAATCAAGAGACTGTCGCTCTTGAGGCATGCTTGTTCCGGATCCGACTGCGCCTAGGTGCACAAATCTCCCAACTGATTGAGCCTTCATATGCACTGGCACGGCCGTACCTTTTTGGAGAGGTGATCTTGTTAAACTAGCCCATCTGGTCCCGGGTATAGCAAGTGGGTGCAAGCGAGTACGCCCAATTCCAGAGATTTGTATCGAACAATTACTGCCAAATTACACAAAGTCGGATACGTGCCGTAAGCTGTTGTCTCACAAGGTTTGCAGTCTGGTTTGCTTCTGTCGACCGGTGGTGGGGGAGCCGTTCTGGCGATGCCTCAGAGACTTCTGTATCAAGTCGGAAACGAGATTTTTAGATCAAATTCAACAACAAATTGTTTTATCTGATATCATTACCAGATTTTTGTGTAGATATAACATAGAAGATCTTTATACTAAAGAAGGTAGATTTCGGTGCAAAACTGGTACTGCTAAAATCCAGACGCCCCCTCCGCCTCATCCGTCTCGTTATGCGAACTCATCAGAAGCACGCGGGACTCTGCTTTATACTATCGCCGTCTTGTCGATCTACAACTTCGCTGTATTCCCAGCGCGTTCCGTTCGTCTAAGAATAGTAGAGATAGACCGGCCCTTGTCTGATGCTTATCGGCAGTACGCCGATTCACGATTGCGCCCCCTTTCCCCCTCCCTTGCGCAGCCGCTCCGTCCAGCTGTCTCTGCTATACTCTCGGCCGGTCTAGTGCTTATTGCCTTATGCTGATCCCCAATTTCACTCGCGCCCCCCGCCTCTCGCAGCGAACTCTGTCCAGCTGTCCCTGCTATGCCTCTTGGCCAGTCTACTATTTATTACCTGATGCTGATATCCAATCTCATTCGCCACCCCCTTCTCGCAGCCGCTCCGTCCAGTCGTCCCTGCTATGCCGCTTGGCCGGTCAATTTCTCCTCGTCTTATGCTGATCCCCAATTCCACTCGCCCCCCCCCTCGCGGCCGCTCCGGCCAGCTGTCCCTGCCACCTCTTGGCCGGCCTGATGCTTATAGCCTTACGCTGATTTCCAGTTGCAACCCCCCTCTGTTTTCGCAGCCGCCCCGTCCAGCTGTCCCTGCTGTGCCTCCTGGCCGGCGTCGGCATCGCGACCGTGACGGACTTGGAGCTCAACTTCCTCGGCACGTGCCTCTCCCTGCTGGCCATCCTGACGACGTGCATCGCGCAAATCATGACCAACACCATCCAGAAGCGGGCCAAGCTTTCGTCCACGCAACTGCTGTACCAAACGACTCCGGTCATGGCCGCGACGCTGCTCATGATCGGGCCGTTCCTCGACCGGGCACTCACGGGGGCCCCCGTGTTTGGGTTTGACTACACGCGGCTCGTCACGGTGAGGCGGTGATTGACGAGGGTGGGTCTGAATACGTGCAGAGTCAGCCGACTGCGGCATAGGCCGTAAGCGGTTTGTTCTTAACGATGTTAACTTCGCAATGTGCTAGCCTGGAAACGAGGTGCTCTGTTCTCGATTCGGTCACCGTAAGTTCATTCCTCAACTCGCCTCTCTGCCGACTTCTAGAAATCTTGTCCCTTTTAATCACCGGCCGTCTGCCAGAACACACTGGTCTTTTAGGATTCCTTGTCTACCACTTTCTGACTAGCGGACGCTTCCTCGCAAGTAACTTGGAAGGCCTGCCAATTCAGCTGCGATCCCCAACCAAGCCAAACATCGAACTTTGTCGGATGTCAGCGGACTACTAACGGGCGCTCCCTTTCCTATGCAGACGTTCATCGTCCTTTCTTGCGCAATCTCCATCTCCGTCAATTTCTCCACTTTCCTGGTGATCGGAAAAACGTCCCCGGTAACGTATCAGGTGAGGGCCGCTCTGCTGACGTTTGATGACGTGTAAGCGTCTGAAGTCGGGCAATCAGGCACTGGTCAGTTAGCAGCTTATGGGTTTGCGGCAATTCAGAATACGGAGAGCCGTAGTCCCTGTGAGAGAGCAGTTGACCGGTGCAGTTGCTCGATCGGACTTTCTGGAAAGCTGTAACTGCGTGCGCAGTCGGATGTAACGTCTACTGAATTCCCTGTGATTGGAATGGTATATGGAAATCCTCGTGGCGATTAGCAAGATTGGATGCGGTTAGCAAGTTCGTCGAACAGCTTGATTGTGTTCATCTAGTCGATCAAGTTTGCTTGTCCATCAAATAGCTCGACAAATTAGATACATATAGCTTGTTACATTTGTCTCGTTTTCAACAAGCCACGCTCGCTAGCTTCATCAAACCATCAGAGCTGTGTCACGCGCGACCTGAAGTCCGGCGCAGGATATCTTTCTTCGAAGGATATAACCCAGTGCGTCATCTCGTCCTTTTCTTTGTTCTGCCACTTCTCCACGGTCACGGTCACTACAAAAATGGGGAGCATCTCTAACCTCGTATCGTACGTCTTTGCTGCACCCTTTGGGCTTACGTGTTTTCAAACAGTTGCTGACGTCAAAGCTTGTTTGCCGCTCAGGTGCTTGGTCACCTGAAGACGTGCCTGGTCCTTTTCCTGGGCTTCATGCTCTTCAAGACCCCTGCCACGTGGCGCAACATCGGGGGCATCCTGGTCGCGATGGCGGGCATGATCGCGTATTCGTACGCAAGCATTCAGGTAGGCGGGCCGAACAAACACTTAAACTCTCTGAAATCTGCTCTTATATTCCATCTGACTTTTCGCACGTGACAAAGGTCCTAACCTACTTCTCCTTTGGAGCCGCTTCCAAAAGTTGGAATGCTGACCTGAAACGGGAGTTGATTCCGCTTAGGCATGACTGCAGGATTTGGTGGGTACTGGGCTCTTAGCTGGCCGGAGATATAACATCAGCGTGACAAAGAAAGATGTGCTGCGCTTCGGAGGTCGTTCTGCTCTGCGTTAAACGAGTTGCGCAAAAGTCGTTGACGACCCCAATCGCCTTGTTTGTGACGCTCCTTGTTACCGCTGATCCAGGAGAGTCAACCGAAGCCAAAACGGGACGAGCTTCTGCCGACACGGACGCCCGAAAATGGGCTATCGTACGAGAACATGGCCAACGGGGGAAGCGCGAACAACATGAACGGCCTCGATGCGAAGAGCTAGGTGCATCGTGCGAGCTGCATGATGAGAACGCGTGCTGCGTACGGTACAACTGTTCCGAAACGCGTGTTTGAGTCAGCCTGTTGAACCATTTTTAGGCGTCAAGGAGAATTAACATTTACTCAGATATAGTACAGACCGTGCCCGCATCAGCGCCGATTTGCAAAGCCGCTACGGTGGCTGTCGACCTGATTAACATGCTAATCATCGTCCTAATCTAGTGTAGCTGACCATCCCTGTAGTGATTCCCGGAGGCACGCGTTTTTTGAGGCTTTCCAAGAGTACGGTCCCCCTTAAGGCCCTAGCTTAGCTTCAAAGAGCGATTCTTGGTGCACGCCTTAACATATACTAACACAACCATGATGCGAACGTATTTTCTGGCGCTTCCGAAGCTAGTCGGACTCTATGCATGCGGCGCTTTCGTATAAAGTTCAGGGTTAGTACGGTTGAGCTCTGATTGTTCCGACACGATCATGCATGGAGCCTGCATGAGTGAGAGGCCCGGGACTGTCTGACTCAGATCTGTCATGGTTGAGCAGGGCCACAATCCGTGTATATATATGTGAAAATGAATTGCATGGAAGCCATGTGCTGGCGCAAATCTGCGGGGGCCTCATCTCGCGTGCACGATCAGTGCAAGCTTCCTTGCATGTATACCTGCATTCATGCCTATATACGCGGTTGAAAAGAGATTGCATGGCACCGGGTGATCATCATGCACTGTTATAAGATCCGCATATATATCTGAGGACCGGCGCCCGGCCGCTTCAGCTAGCCAGGACACAAATAGGTACATGTGCGCCTCTCGGATCGTTGTGGCAAGCTGATCAACCATGCGTATTGAATTTAGCTGATTTGAAAAACAAGCCGCTCGAGGGTCTGATTGCCAGCCTGCATGGCTCACTCTGAACGGCGCGGGTGCAGCTTTGCATTGATCATCACTGTTCCAGGGTCGAGTGCGGCTTTCTTCCGCGACGTTGAGTTTCGTATGCCTACAGTAGTTGGATGTGAAGTGGAACTGAGCCAGCTAATACGGGATCGCGACTTGTACTAAAGGTCACCTAACAAAGAATACGTGAGAATCCAATATACCAGAAAATCAGGGACCGGGGCGACAGAGGATCATAAGGATGGTTGTGATCAGGTTGGAAGGATATTTTGAAGGAAGCTGCTTCAAACTTCGCATAAGAAACTCGAAATTGGGTGTGCAACTGTCTTCCAGGCTCTGATTGCTAGTCTCCCGCTGATCTTTGCATAAAATCTAATACTTAGAGTTCATCAACCCAGGCCCTAGCATGGCTTTCCTGTACAGAAAAGTCTGTCGGAACGTCAGCTAGTTAGAAGCCCTTCTATAAGTTCTACTGTACGTAGCTTCTTTCGGCCCAAATCCTACGAATAACAAGGCACCTTTCCAACAATCAATATACTCAGAGTACACTCAACGCGCTTTTTGAATAAACCGCTCATTGGCTGGAGATACGTTTGCGAGTGCTGCCTGTTTCTAGGCATTCCAGTATACCAGCAAGTGAGATCTGAATCCAAAGTGAGATCGGACCTCCGAATGAGGCGACCACCCGCTTGATTGTTTGTTCAAGCATACCTAGGTACTCAACATACTCGTAAGACACAGCCTTTGCTTTTGGCCTTCGACTGCGTGGCACTGCTTATCTTCATCCGTTCTACTGTAAGCGTTTCAAGGTTTTCACATTCTTCTACGAAAGAAGCGATGCCCGGGTCTGTCACCTGCACAAGGGAGGAAACAAATGGATCAGCTGCAAGCACTGATTAGAAAAGGAGGCTTAAAAAAGGTGAAATTGGCTTTCCGCACAACGATCCCTGGACTATTTGCACGGCTCAGCTTGCTATTCTCGGTGCAGAATTCCTGCTTTTAACAGAGTTAGGAGTGGCGGCTGGAATGTGAGGCAAGCAATAAACTGAAGGGCCTTTCAAGAGGCTACTTTATGACAGCAACTAAAACTATCTGGCATTTCACAAGACTCGAGGGAGCGGATTCCATGATTAAGGGCTCGCTTTTTCATGCTTTCTGGTTGCTGTGCCCAGAACGTACCTTGGGAAGTTTCCCTATGTTGATCTCCTTCAGCCCCTCCGACCAGATACCAATTGCAACCAGTCCTTCGTCATCCACCTCGGAGCAGCCGTTGATACTCAAATTTTGCAGGTTGGAAAATCCTGCTGCGATTGAAGCCACCTGCAAAGGAACAGAAGTCTTTGATGCCACCGGGCCAGTGTGATAAGTCGCTGGAACTCCCAGTTATCTTGGCTAGCTCAGGGGTAACAGGGCATGCCAGCCAAACGGCTGACCCCAAAAGCATTGACTCCACATATGGAGAATGGTGCACAGATGAGGGACTGCTTTACAAAATGATCACGTATTGCAAAAGGCTAGCAGCTGAAAACGACCAAGCTTGCTGTTTCTTCTTGGAGGTGCTGATTTGCGTCAACATTGTTATGCAGATTGCCAGCATTTTTGGGGAATTGCGGAAGCCGAAGCTAAAGCTGCCCGGACTTTCAAAACCGGCCAGTTTCTGATGCTCGACACGTGATCCGAACAAGTTGATTTGTTGTGCTTATGCTCACCCCCAGATTGCTGACACTGCTGCACCCGTCTAGGACGAGCTCCTCCAACGTTGTACATCGGATCTGTCCGAATTTGACCATGCCCCGGTCTGTCACACCGGTGCATCCTCGGAGGTTTACTTTTTGAAGCCGGCCCAGGTTACGTTCCAGAACGGTCGCAAAAGCATCGTTGTTAAACCTGGGTCAAAGAGGCAAAATTGTCCATAAGAAAGAGGTTCCGAAGCAACATCTCCAAGAGGACACAAGGTCAAAATAGAACACCAGAAAGACAGCTACATACGTCATTGCTAAACCGGACATACGAATTCGTTAAGCACACGACCTTCACAACCTGACTTGCTGGGATTTACTGCCTTGTGGCCCTTCAGCAAGCAGAATTTAGTTGGGGTTGCCCTTCGCACACGTCCGACGTCCCCTTCACGTCATCCAAAAGTCTGGGTAAAAGGTACTTCACAGAAACTTTCTGGCTTACCCAATCAATCTGTCAAGCATCACTTCTTTGACATGTATCAGCGCATTCCGCGAGAGGGCGAGCAACCCCATCCCGTGCGGCGTAAACCCCTCGCAGCGGATTAGCGAAAGCTCCTCGAGGTCGGAGTTCCGGTCCAGAAGGGCCACCATGCCTGTGTCTAAAGTGCCTGTGCCACCCTTGATGAACAGCCTTTGCAGCGTGGAGCAGTGAAGGGAGAGTTTCCTGTAAGGAAAAGAAAGCTTCAGAGCACGGCCCGAGGAAGTATCCCTGCTAGCAGACAGAGAAACAGGAGCATTGAAGTAGCTACATCAGCAAAACGAGTCTGCTAAAGCGGGTGCTATGAAGACTCACCTGAGTGTTTCACTAGTTGTTCCTGCGCAGTCGGAAAGGGTCAGGTCCTCGAGTCGTTTGCAGTTCTTGCCCACTGCGTTAAGCGCCGCAGATGTAAACTCGTTGCAGTTTGTGAGGTGCAGAGTCGTCAGGTTTGTACAACCCTGTAAAGTTGTAGAGCCGTTTTCGAGCAAGATGCGAGGTGCAATTATGGGAATAAGCAAGTGAACAACAATGAGGTGGACAACATGTATCCCTTTCTAAGAAGCGTCAACTGCAGAGTTAGATTAACCTGCCTTAGCTTGTTTCTTAAGCTACCGGACTACTAACTCACCGGTTGGCATCATAACTGGGGAGACCATTTGGATTTTTGTGGGCCAAGTAATCCTGAAGCTGTTATTCTGCTGCCATGAAGGAAAGGCCTGACGACATGCGAAGTTGCTTTCAGCCTCACCTGGGAGAAGTCTATCATGCCCTTGTCACCAAACTTTGGGCAGAACCTGAGCGTCAGAGACTGCAGCTGCCTGCAATTCCCTAATGCTGCCAGCCCGGGGTTTCCTGCAAGGTGGCAGTCTTCCATGGACAGGCTCTCCAGAGAAAGGCAGCCAGACCCGATGGACTGGAGACCTTGATCGCTTATGATGTAGCACCCACTAAGCACCTGCCAAAGGAGCATATGCTTATTGGTATCTGTGAGCCAAATGGAGAAAATGCTCTCTGTTTCCTGTGTCCAAGAAAAAATGTGCTGACTTCGTACGTAAGTGCTATGAGAGGAAATCTCTGAGAACCGGAGTGCAACTTAAGGGTCCTTCTAACCATCAAATCTATGAGACAGACCTGTGATCCAGGATCCAAACCTTCTATTGGTTTTGTGTGCATCAAGTACTTGCATCAAAACACTCAACACATTCAGGCAGATCAGTGTAATCAATCTGTCAGGCGAATGGCGGTCTGCGTCAAAAAACCTTGCTCAAGGATCTGCAAGCTCGCTTGAATAGAAGCAGGCAATGTATACCATCTGTCTCAAACAGAATTCTCCTGTAGCAGGTGGCCCTCTTCTGAGACACTTCTCGCGGGAACCTACCAGCTTTGTAATATGCTTGAAGTCGCGGCTGATTGCAGCAAGGCCATCATCTGTGAGATCCCCAGTGATCTGCGTCCTAGGGGCCTGCAAATTCAGCTTCAGGCAATTGGGGAACTCCTTGCGCAGCTGTGGCAGGTCTTTCTCTCGTGTTGCGGTGACCTCCCGCCGTGCTAACTTCTCCAGCTCCTGCCACCGCTTGCATACAACGCCCGCTCTCAGGGAGTCTGCCAGGTCGTCAATCTTCTCCAGGATTGCGATGATGCACTGCATGAAATCCATGGCGCATCCTCAGTTCACTTTTCGCTCTGTTTCTTTTCTGCCTGCCATTGGAGGACACAGATCATTCCGAATCAATGTAGCGGCAACCATGATCCATGGACTTGAAGTAGAGGATAGAGAGCATGCGCTGAATCACAATGGACCAGATTGTATAGTAGGATTAGGAAGCGTGTGCTAATCCAAGGCCGGCATGAACTGTCTTAGATGGCTAAGGTATCATCCTGACATGATTGTTAGGAAATGGTGGAGCTGTGATCCAGTAAAGTGCAGCCTTGGCGTGTGTTGTTGGTGTACAGATGTTGCTCAAGCCCAGAGGAAACAAAGGAAGCCATAGCTCCCAGCTCACCTCATCCGGAAGCAGATTGTTGATTGGGCCCTGATCCAAGTCAAGTTGCAACACTCGTCTCGTCTTTTTTGTACCTGATTCTTCCAAGCCTTCTAGAATTGCCCCCATATTCGTCGCCGGACTCGCTGTTGACTGAATTCGAACCACCTTTCTGCGTCTTCCTTTCTTCTCGGGTTCTGGTGGTCCCGCAACCCCCTTGACATCATCCGCCTTGTGCCCATTCCGGGCAGCATGTCGAGTTGCCCTCACCATTGTTGCCACGCAAACCACCACCAAATGACGTTCCTTGGAAAACCTCGTACCCTTGACACGTTGCAGGACATCCAACGTCGAACCCCTCCTGCACAGATGCGGGAGTCCCTGCTTGGAGCGGGATAAGATCAATTGGGAACGTTCCGGGCAGGAGGCGACTTGACAAACCTGCTCAGCCACACGCTGATGGATGCACGCATCCCGACCTCACTCCAAAGATAGGAAGCTGCAGACTCTGCACACTACCTACCGCACAGATGTACAGGCTGCAGCTTGCCGAAACCTTCGGTAAAGGTACCTACCGTCGCTGCGAAGCTACCCATTGTGTATAGACTGTAAACAATCTTGGGACAAAATAGCGGTACGGTACCGTGCACTCCCTTATGGGCAATGCCGCATTGCCCAATTTGTGCAGATTTGAAAGATTTCAAGCTGCTTTTGGCGCGTTATTGAACCAATCAGAAATCGACGCCGATTTTGAAGCACACCCGTGCCGTACGATACTTTCAAACCATCGGACGGCCAGTGTGCTCGATGTTGAATGCAACAAATTGAACTTCTAGGCTTACTGGCACGTGGCAGTAGGCAGACTTCGAGAAGACGACCGTCCGGTCGCGCTAAGAATTGGGCGACTCAGGGCCGTTCATGGATGGCTTGGCGCATGCAGTGGAATAAAGGTACAAAGGGTTAGAGGAATAGAGGAAGCTCGTTTTTCTCGAGCTTTATAGTGCCCTTCGTTGCAACTTTGATATCGGGACGTCACGGCTGCCCAATGGCCCATCAACAAAGAAACATATGTCGTGAGCGTGCGGGTTTTCGAGGGCACAATAGTGCTGTTGATTGTGGAGCCACCCGGGCGTCACGGCCGCATTGCACCCGAAGCATTAGCTTCTATGCAGGATAGGCAAAGGCCACGTGAGAGAAGAACCCCGGTGCTAGCACATTCTCTATAACGATTCTGAGCGGATAAGCACTTTAAAGAGCTTCCAACATGCCGTCGTTTCTTCGGTTGTTGCACTTTGTTGGTGCGATGCTAGTCACTTCGATTGACCATTTGACTATACTAAGTACTAGTACCTTATCTCCGCGCCCTTGAATGCTTCGAACGTCCAACTGAATGCTCGAATGCACTTCCATCGGAGCGGTATGACACAAATGAGTGTATCATTCAATCAGATGAAAAGGCTCCGAAAATCAATCAGGGGTGGATGTTCTTAGATGAAAGCGGTACTTTGTGGAGTATCGTATGAATGATATCGACAGTAGAACGACTCAGAAGTTGTGACATTATTGCAGGATCCTTTCAGCAGTCGAGGATCTCGTCCAAGGAGAACGGCAGCCCGTTGTCCATCAGGGCTTGCTCGACGATCTCACGCGCACGCTCTTCTTCCTGCTTCATCCTGGCCGTTCGATGCATATCGGACGACGGACCATCTAGTGAGAGGCCGTCCCACCCTCTCCACGTGCCCTTCTTTCGAGAGGCCCTGTACGAGCCCGACTTGCTCAGCCTGCTGCTGTTTTGCCGCTGGAACGACTCCCACAGGGCTTTTCGCCGCTGGTCTTCTTTCTTTCGTTGCTCGGCCTTCCGCTTTTCCTTCTCCTCCCGGTTGTCGTACAAGCCTACACGAGTCAAAGGCGAGTGAGATTTGGTCGAAACAGTTTACTTCCGTAATGGTAGCCAAATTGCTCTGGATTTCCCAGATCAAAGACGTCTGTTATGTCACCAGCTTTCCTCCGAAAGAGATGCAAACCGTAAGAGACCCGTCGCGCAGGACCATGGCTTCTCAAAGGGCTTACATAGTTTCCGGTGTTGACGCCTTTTTGCTATGTTTCACAAAAGCATAACCACTTTTTATGCTCTTGCCGCCTCGAAAGGCCAGTGCTTGACTCGACGGCTCACCTTGCTCCATTTCTTCCTTGACCTTGAGCTCCTTTAGTTTTACAGCCAGTGTTTTGGCTGGGGCGAACGCCGGCGGCTCAAATGCCGGGGGAGGGGTCGGATGGGTCTGCAGACAAGAAACAATAACAAAACTAAGTGCTGAGCTTCCCATTTTGGAAACAGGGGTTTCGTTGGAGATCAGAGCAGGATGCTTTAGCAATCAAATCTACCTACGGTACTGTTTGAGCCTCGTAAAATGTGAATCTCAAAGTTTTTTCATTCTCCGTTGAAAGGAGGTGACGCGAGATTTTCTTCTTGCACTTCCAACGAGTATCGTAGCTCTCAGCTTCAGGGGCGAATTGAAAACAAACCAGTCGGGATCCAGTACCAACTTTGGCAAGGTCCATCCGTTCATCCATCCAGCGAAAACTTTGCGGCGACCCGTTAGCCGGCCCCACCTTTGTTCTGGGCGCCATGAAGGGCCACCGCTGCTCCGGCAGCCGCTCCTCGTCCTGGTCAATGTCCCGGGCGATCTTCTCCTTTTTCCGGGCGGACAAGCTGGGCTTCTCGTAGAAGCTAAACGCCTCGGACTTGGTGACCGGTAGCTCCGCGCGTGCGCGCTCGAGGGACGCCTTGAAGCGCCGCTGGAGGTTCTCGAAGTCGGGAACGGCTCTGCGCGGAAAGCAGAAAGTCGTGTCATCAACTTTTCCAACAGAAAGGAGGGTCTGTACCAGAAACCTTTCAAATCCACTCCTGTCTGAAGGAACAGAGTCCGTGCGCCAGCTTTGAAATGTTTGGGGACCACCTGAATATCCTATTTCAATTGCACGCAATCAGTAAAGGAGAAGCTTTTGCCTTCTTCTTTTCCGCATCGACGACCAGCATGCAAGTCCAAAACAAATGTTAGATCACCGGAAGTTGTTTCTGAGCAAGAAAGAGATGCCGAAAGACGTCACTGCATGTACACCTTGAAGGAGTCAATGTTCGCGTCGTTAAAACGAATGCGCGACTCACGTCTTCACACGTGGTCTGAAGCTGGCTTCCTCCTCAATGAAGAGCTTGGGCGGCGGCGCGGTTTGTTTGCCCTTCTCGTGCATTTCCATGCGGGGCGGCAGTCGCGAGTTCTTCAGCTCTTCCAATGCGCGCCGCTTGCGTAGCTCTTTTCTGGCCCCCATCTCTTTCATCAAAGAGTCAAACCTGGAGCAGGTAACAGAGTAGCGTCAAGAAGACGTTAAGGGGCGGCTTGAAGTCATGAATAAAATTAGTCCATCGGAAGCGCCTTCAGGTATCACGAAGAGTTTGTACCTGGTGGGACACAGCCAGTTTTCCTCAAAGAAACATTGGCGGGGAGAAATGATTGAGGTTCCAGGTATTGGAAGGTTGCAGACATAGAACTTTTACAAAGATAATTATATTACAGACGCGCTTCAATACGCGCAGTCTAGTCTTACATGGGCGCTAAGTCCGTTGCGCCTGGTGTGAGTAGCCTTCTCCGATTCCAACTGACAGCAAACTTTGGCAGAATATTGGCTAGAACAGCTGCTCGAAGGCATCCAGTAACCCGCTGATCAAAGGCACGAGTCTGTCCGGAAGTGGCAGCTTCGGAGAATTGCATCCAAGGACTATTGTCATACCATCGAGCTGGCTTCTCTATTTGGCGAGCACTCACTTCTTTTCCTTGACCGCCGCGGGTACCGGGTTGGCTTTGAAGGCGGGCCCCCGCTGCTTGGCAGCCTCAAGATCGGCGGACTGCGCGAGGCCACGTGTACGGCTGAGCGTGTCTCGATTATAGAAGCTGAAGGGCTTCTCCCTCGACCGCATCAGCTCCAGCGATTGCGTGTGCACCTCCTGCAATAGCGTATCAGCGGCAAATCATTGCCAAGCCAACGAGGGCGTGCAGGGCTGCTGTCATGTCCGAAGGCAAGTTTCTATAGGGTACATTTTGTGATCACAGACGTCAAGAACAGCTCAGGGGAAGGCGAAGAGAGAACATCGGAAGAAAAGTCGGGTGAGGGGAACAGACCTAGAGAGATGGTCTGTGCATCTGTTCCGGAAACGCGCAGCAAGATGACGCTCGATTGCAGAAAGCTGATCTTGTTGTGTCGCACTAATGCAATAAGAATCGAAACGCTCGTTCCGGTTGTCCTCCGTTTCTTACCCGCCTCCTCTTCTCTCTGGCCGCCGTCAGCTTGACGTAACGGGGGAGCACGGTCGACCGGGGAAGTGGGTTGGCCTTGAAGTGGTTCTTGGTTAGGTACCAGTCTACCTCGTCTTTGAGAGCGAGATCCTGGAAGCGGAAAAACCCTTGTGAGGCAAAGCGAAAGGCTGCTCCAACTCCTGGAGGCTTTTCGCAATGATTCTTAATAGCTCGCCCTTTACGTGGTAACTCGTCAGGAGCATTTGACTCGTTGCTGCAAGAGGTGATCAAATCCCGATGACGTCACCGACGGAATCGGAGCCGGCAATCTGCAGCAGAACGTGCACAGCAGGCAACGACTTTGATTCAAGATTCTAGTCTGAGCGTCCAACTGGCGCCACTTTGACGGCGCCAGTCTCTCATCCCCAAAGCTCGAAGCCCACCTGCGCTGTGCGCTTCTCCGCGATGCTCCTCTCCCGCAACCGTTCCCTCTCATCGAATCTGAATGGCTGGGGAACCGTCGCCCCACGAGGTACCCCCAAGTACCTCACACAGTTTCTGTGACAGCTGTGCTCCGTCGCCAGCTGGTACGGCCCTTTCACCCCCCCCGGAAACGTCACTCTTTCAACCCCACCGGAATATGTCACTCTCTCGACTCCCCTTGAAAAGCTCCGTTCGCTGGCTCCCCCTTCTGAGGCTCTCGGGCTGTCCTCCTGCCATGGGCGCCCGATTGTCCGTGCGGATCTGGGCCGCTGTTGGGGGGCAGTCCCGTTCAAATACGCGCCCCTCCGCTCCATAGCGTATGCCGTATGGTGGTCGCCTTCGCCGTCGGAGTAGTAGTTCGGCTCCAGGAGCTGCCCCGGGTCGTCGTCATAAGCGCTGCTGTCGTATAGTCGGTCAGCGCCCCCACGCGGCCGGCTCCGCTCCGCCCAACGAGGCGACTCGTCCTCTCCGGAATCGCTGACGTCACTGGCTGATGACCGGCTGTCGTCAGCTTGACCCCGGTATGGATCTTCTGCCTTTTCGCCCGACTTTCCCCACTTGTTTGCTTCCTTTCCCCCACTCTTTCTATGCCTGCTTTTCACAGGTGCTTCTCCCCTCTGGCTGCCAGAATCCACGTCAGCAATGACGTCAGCATCCGTTCCGCCCCTCATCCCCGGCCCCGCCACGTGTTCCCAGACTCCGGTCTTCCAAGAGGACCCCCTTTGCTCCGCCTCTCTTGTTTTCCTCTCGACCCCCCTTCCATTTCGGTTTCCTAAGTCGCATTCCTCTTCACTGTCGGACCTTCCGCGTCTCCTCATGTCTCGAGCGCCGTTTACGGGACCACACCTCCCTTGTGAACGTCCATCCTCATAGGAACCTCTTTCGAAGTTCTTTCTCCTGCTCGTACTCGGAACCGCTTCTTCGGCACTCCCTCTCTCGCCCCCTCGAGATGCCCTTCGTCCAGAGCCTTCGTTCAACTTAGTCCTATCATCCCCCTCAGTTTCTTCGCCACCCGAATCCCCTTCCCGTTCTTCGACAATTGGGCTGTTGGCATCCCAACCCGGCGCAATCCCCAGCGCTCGCCTGTAATCTTCCTCCCTCACAGAAAGCTCGGGCCACGCGTGTCTCAAGTCTTCACCTCGAGTTTCTTCTATCGCCAGTTCTGCTGCTTCATCTGATCCCTGTTCCTCCCCCGATCTAGTAACCGCATTCGCAGAGGCAGCGGTCCTCCGAGCTATTCGATCGTGCCGCTGTGCAACGTCTTCTACGCTCTCTTTGCTGGGCATCGGTTTCTCTCTTTTGACGCTCTCGTCTTTCCGAACCACCGCGCCGTAAGGCAGCTGCCAGCGCGGTCTCGGGGAGCTACCCCTCGACGCTTCCGCGTCGCTGGTTCCACCTTCTCGATGTTCTTTCTCTCTCAATCCCACATCAAGCTCTCCCTCGTTTCTCGTCCGTTCTTCCAGCACGCTCCGTGTTCCCTCCTGCTCACTTTGCTTCTCCGGAGAGGCCACTTTGGCAGCCCTGAACACTCCATCCGTTCTATCCATCTCAGCCACTTGTCCCTCGGCCTCTTCGTGCAGGTTTCTCACGCCCCCCCCTCCGCCCCTGCCTTCCAGCTCCCCCCGAAGCGAGACCAGCATCCGCTCCAATCTCTGGACGTACGAATCCGACGTCTGGTTGGGGCTGAGGGGGCCTCGAATGCTCGCGAGCAGCGCGCGCGCCCTCGGGCTCTCGGACGCGCGCTCGGCGCCGGACGAGTCGAGCTCCTCCTGTTCTCTCAGCCAGTCAGCGACGGGCAGCGGGCGCTGAGCGGCGGAGCTCTGGACATGTTGGCCCAGCCTAGTTCTCCTCTCCTTCTCACTCTGCATAAGGGAACAGCTGGACAGCTGAGGACGAAAGCAGATGCGTTCGGACGTTTGACGTGCGTGTGCGGAGCTTCATGTGCGTACACACCTTTGCTGGAACGAAAGGGAACGCAAGCGACCACACTCAAGGATGTAGACCCTCGTTTCATGTGGATAAACACAGGAGATCGAGGAGATGCATCGAGCTTTCAAGATCGGGAGGCAAGTTGGACGTAAGATTGATATCATGTGAGCGGAAGAGAATAAGATGTGCACTGAAGATCTATTGATTGCGCCTTCTTGAGTGGGAAAGCTACGGTTAAGTGATGCCGACCAACCTGCTGGCGGTCTTGTCTGGCTTCACAACAGACTTTTCTCTGCGGACTATAAGCTTTAGTTGAAAGCTTTGAAACCTCTGGATAAGCGGTTCCCTTCAACATCTCTTTCCCATTATAGGCACGGCACTGTAGGTAGCAACAAGCGAAATCAAGAAGCCAGTCTTGAAAAGATACCTGGTTTGCTCCTCTTGCCGATTGTGGGCGGAACCATTCCGAGGCCTCGACACGGACGCCCGTTGTGGGGCGGGCGGAAAGTGGGCGCTCGTGCAGACTCCTCACTGACGAGACATTAAAAGGTGACGTGTCAGCAGCTGATCAGCGAAGAGAGTGAATACGAGCCTGAAAGACTTTTGTCAGAAGGTCCATCAAGTCAGCGACATATGCTGCATGGAATCGCTGCTATGTAGACTCTCCTTACGTCCATCTCACTGAGCCAGAGGATCAAAGATCAAATCACTGACAGCTAACAAAGTTTCCGGAGGCAAAGCAGAAGCGTTCTGACATCTTCATCAGGTTGGCTCCAGCAATAAGCAATATGGAGGGAATTCAGCAGAAGCCCAATCAAGCTTCTTCCTCTTTATCGAAATATTAAACGCACTAACGTAAGCGCAACACACCACTGGCTACACACACAATTGTCCAATCATGCTGACTTCCTCTCAAAATGGCGAAGGGAAACTAAACGAGCTCGCAGCCCAGCTCACCGGACTTCTCATCCCACACACTGCTTGCTCGCGAGAACCCCCCAGTCTGGCCTGCCACTTTTCGCTGCACCTTCTTCTTTGGCTGGTGCGGATATCGGGGCGGTGGGGGCACCGCTCGCTCCAGCGCCTCGTCAGCAAAGCTGAACTCCTTCGCCTTTACTGCAACCACCCCTTTCTTCTGGGGGGGTCCAAGTAGCCTCGAGCTGACCTCCCCTAGAACGTGGATGTTCTCCTGATCCTCTAATGGGGCGCTGGGGACGCTGCTCAGGTCCAGACTGGGCCGCCGCGCATTCCCGTTTCCGTTTCCGCTTCCGTTTCTGGTTCCGTTCCCGGACGACCGCCGCCGGACTTCTCGTACTTTGAACACTTGGGTGCCCCAGACCTGGTATGCTTCGTCTTCTTCTACCTCTGCTGTTGGCCCCTCCGGAATGACCTGGGGCTTACTCGTCACAACCGTTACAGAGTCAGCCGTTGGTGCGCTTTCCCCGTCTTCTTCTGCCGTGCCCCTTCTCTTCTCGGCGCTCTGTTTCTGGGCTCTGACTTGCCGCGCCACCGCTGCGCTCGGCCGAGGGGCCTTCTTTCCCACGTACCGCTGCATTGCTCTCACGGCGGCCGTTCCGGTCGGTGCCGAGGAAGTAACGGCAGTCTTTCGCCCCGACTGAGAGCGCTCCTGAGCCACGTGATGGACCTGGAAGACGTCAGCATTGCTCACTTCAGGGCCGCCAGGCTGCCTAAGGCTCCTCACAGACCCTTCCATGACTTGCTCTCAAAGAGGAAAGCTAGTCGGCTCCATTAACAAGCTTACTCTCTTTAGTGGGCTCCATTAACAAGCTTACTTTCGTTGCTCCGTGCACGGCAGCAGAGGCCCGTTCTCAAGAACTTTCTGCGTCTTGGGGACACAGTGTGTGTACGCCGGGATTGACGGGAGCCTATAAACTCGCCTTCCATATAATATCGAGAAGCTTCGCCAGAATACTTGTCAATGCAAGACGATCAAGGGCGGGCCGTCTGCATTCTGTTGTGGGAGTGCCGTTGGTCACAGCGCGGTAAAGAAGGGCTTGCTGTTCAACTCATGTTTGGAGTCTTGCGGCATTGGTCCGACCTTGACACACTTGCAATGTTCGTACCTCAGGAACGTAATGCTGCGCAATCAGCACCAGCATGGAGTGTCAGGCTCATGTCTAGGCATTGTTTGAAGCCTCCGGCCAGTAATATTCTAGGATCAGTGACACGCACATTATGCATTATCGTACTATGGTCATCTCACGTTGCCATGAACATTGCGCGTTGCATGCCAATGTTCAACTGTCATAGAAGCATCAGCAGTCTCTTCTTCTGCTACCTTTCTCTCTGATGAACCTTTGATTGCACCGTATGGCTTCAAGAAGGGTCCGAGTTGACATACGGTAGGTTCAGTGACCATGAAATTCGCAACGACGGTAGCGTATGTAGCCTGTAGCCTGTAGGTCTGTAGACTCTAGCATCATTTCCGCGTTACCAATAACAATTGGGTCACCTAGTGTCAACGGACCGACGGTCTGCAACTTGTGAACATCCAACCGATGCGCGCGCACCAGCGAGTATGAGGCAGCCACAGCCGTTCGATTAACCATCTAGTCCGTCGTCGGATGGCGAGATGGTAGACCCTACGGGAGCACGACCTTTCGCGTGGAAAAATCACTCTATAAAATCTGGTCGCACCGCAGACTGGCGACACTTCACAAAATCTCGGAAGATTGTGGGAAATCCAGTCTGTATTTCAGCCCTGTAAGGAAGGGTCGATTCCCCGGGCAAGCCATCTGGACCACAGCAGGACTGTTTCTGGCGTCCAGCCTGCCCGGTTCAGTGGCCTGTGCTTGCGATCCACCGGGGCAGAAGATAGGCGCCTCAAGTGCCCGGTTAAGGGGTGAGCCTAATGTCTCAACCGGGCAGTTGAAACGCTAGGAACAGCCCTTGTATAGTCTTTCTGCTTACCCGGGGAATCGGCCTATGCTTACAGGGCTGAAATACAGACTGGATTTCACGACAACCTTAGCAGATTCTGCGGAGTGTCGTCAGTCTGCGGTGCGACACAAAATTTGTAGAGTGAATTTTCGCGCGACCGCGGGGACCGCGTCCGAGTCAATTTTGAAGGTCGTGCTCTTGTAGGGTCTACCTGGCGAGATCGCAGGTTCGGCGCATTTTCTTCTCTGAGTCTGACATCAGAATGCGTGTAGTCGTGTCGTTTGATCTCCTGGCTAGAACAGGTCTGGAAAGCTGCTTCAACTACTCCAAAGCAAAAACATCAAAGTATTATAAAAGTCTCCAGGACCAGAGCGTGGATAAAGATCAAGTGATTCTGCTCAGCTTTAGCTCCAGAGCAATCTCTTAGATAGAGATTGCTCCCGAATATCGCTGGAGTATATCTTGGAACTCCGCGTTTGTTCAGAGCCATTGTGTAATGAGCTCAGCTTCTTCATAGCTCCAGGTAATCCTCGAAAGCGGAGGGGCACCTCGCAGATCAGCCCCGCAATCAAGTTTACTGCTCAGAGTGAGCCAACGTGAGTTCTAATAAAGCTGGCCTGCTTTGGTGACCATTTGAAAATCAATAATGCATCAGCAGTAACACCAACTTTGAATGCTAATTTGAGAGCGTCACCCATGAAATGATCAAACTTTTCCCCAGAAGTGCTCTTTCCACACAATTCACAAAGTATAAAGTTTATGGCCGCAGTTGCTGGTGTGGTGCACCCAGCATTACTAGCAACGTCTACATTGATTGTTTAAAAAGCTTGTCGGTCAATTTTTTACTGCGGGGTAAAAAAGAAGTCCTGGTTTGATGCCCAGGTGAAGATCATCAGTACTCGCTGGAAGTGGGTCTCTCACTTTTTGTACATTGCGAGTCTCCCCTCAAATTTCTGTCAGACAACCACCACAAGCGCTCTCTAGAAGCAGGTGGATATTTCAATCAGACGGAAAGTGTGTGCGTTAGTTCCTGGCAGCCAATCCTTTGTAAACTTTTTTTCAGGCCCCTCTTTCTCAAATGGGGGGGTGCGCCGGGAAGCACTCGGACGCAATCCAGCCCACGCTGTCCCCAGAACCGTCCCGGAAAAGTTTGGGCAATGAACTGGGAAATGACAGTGCCAATATCGCACGCACGAGATCGAGTGGGCGCAGGAACGGACTGCCAGAGCAGGTCTTCAGCCGCAGCAGTCTGTCGGGTATCGTCAAGATTGTGATCAAGGGGGTAAGCACTCATCAGATCAAAGTGCGAGCTGCCTAGGGGGCATTCTTGTGCCCTGTTTTGTTTTACACGTGGATAAGTCTTAGCTATAGATTGATAGCCCCATGGACTACTGGACGCCAATTGTCACTTGTTTGATCTGCAATGCTGTGAAGACAAACTTTGGGAAGAAAGGGGCATACCATCAATGGCCGGCGAACTTTGACTCGCCGCACTTTTTTGACCTTTTACTGGGTTGGCTTGGAGCATCAGCAAAGGTAATGACCAGTCCCTAAGTCTCTTGACGAGTGAGGGGCATCCCCCTCAGGTTAGAGACTGGTAAACAAAACAATTGACAAGAAACCAGAGTCTGCCTGCCAACCAACAGTCCAGTCTTTCAGTTGGGCAGATTATTTTAAGCTGCGAACTTGTTGATTCTCCGTCTTTTGCAGGCCACTCTGCAGAAGAAGCACCGCTGGTATGCGGTGGTCACACTGGGGAACCAATCCTTCAGGACTTCCACAGCAAGCTCGTGAGTGTTTTACTGCTCAAGTCACAATAAAGCCAGTGGGCTGCGACCCAAGTAGGATTATGCACTCTGTGCACTCCCCTTGCATCAATGGTTGTTCCTTTTCATCCACTAGCCCCATGCGACTTGGGCAATTGTTCTGTTGGTGCATTGGTTGAATGATTGACTGGTTGCAGGGCTGGTCGTGTGATCTGGTCGCGTACTTGACTGTTCGTATAAATAGTTGTTAGTGCAGCTTTGACCTAATTCACAGGAGCCCCTAGCCCAAGTTCTGGTCAAATGAGTAGATTGTTATCGCTCTGGAGTCACCTGTAAATGCTTTTGAGTTTGACTTCCTAGTTCATGGACGGTAAGGACAATACTTAGGACATCTGGAGCAGGAGAACACAATCACGGAGTATTCCTCAACCCAAGCGTCTTGCAATCTTGAGAATTGCAAAGGCTTTTGCCGTAAGCTCCCCCCCAGAACGACGTGTTCGTTTGCTCTCGTTAATAGGTCGAAGACTCCCGTGTGGAACTCGGAGAAGAAAGTGGCGCTAGAGGAGAATGGGGCCAGGGTTTGCCGAGTATCCATCATAGAGGTAAGGGGCACCGGTTTCCTCTACTTCTTTGAGAATCCCATCAGCATGCCGTTCTAGATGCCATCTAAAACGGTGCCAAGTCCTAACTGGTCTATCGACCACATGGGTCAGCATGACCTGCCCAAATGCTTCTGCTCGTACTGCAGAGTAGCGGTTTTGTTTGGCTGCTGACAGGCGCTCCCTTGCATGATGATTAAGGCCCAAGTGAATACCTAACTCGAGGATGTTCTGATGCACGGCAGTCTCAGAAGCTCTCCAAGAACAAGCTGGAGGGCTACGCAGAGTTCGACCTCAGCAGCATCTTCAAAGAGGCGAGTTCTTACTGACCTCCGTTTTCGTGTGACGTTTCTGGATAGACCTGGTATTGGTTTGGGTGCTAGGAGCACCCATTGGCGGGCGGTCTTGCCCAAATGGTACGTCGGAGCTCAGTTCAAGACTCTACCCTTTGACTTAAGAAATCAATCTCGGCAGAGCATATGACTTACACCGAATTGATACTCTTCGCGGGGTAGTATGAAGAAGGCTTCCATTGATGCCGGGCACCGTTGGTTGGTCTGCGCTGACTGGGTCGAGCCGATTGCATCAGCCTCCTCATAAGAAATACGCCTAAAAGTTGTCCGTAGCAGATAGATTACGACTCTGTGTCATTACAAATTCCGATCAAAAAGCATCACATTTGTCCAGGACGTGATGACTCGAAGATCATCGTACCAGTGATTGAGAGTGGGCTTCGGATCTGTTTCTTGACTGAGCACTTTACGACTTCGCCAGAGTCCCCCGGCTGAAGATTGGTTGATCTATGGGTTTACACTTCGAGGCAGCTAAGAAAGACTGACGGCAGGTCAGTGCTCACCATGTGTCTCCCGTTCTGCAGGGCAATCAGCACGCCGACGATGAGATACCCCTCTACAACCCCTCCACAAAGACGCAAAGTGTTGGGACCCTCCGACTCTCCTACATTGCAGAGGTAAGCAAACAAAGAGCCGAACTCCGCAGACTGTTTACCCTGGACTCACTGTCTCTGCGAGCGGCCTCCTCGATCTCAAGCAGCGCCGCTCCTCCTCGAAGTCTCTGTGAGATGAGAAAGCAGTAAGAAGCCGAACTCGGCTCGAAGAAGATTCCCGGTCTCAAAAAAGAGACCGGCCCGCCATCGGCAGAGACTCTGCTAACGGCGTCTCAAAGTTCCGGCCCCAATGCTGCTTTTGTGATTTAGCAGGTATTCATTTGTGGGTGCTTTGCTGCAGCCAGCGCATGCTACCATCCAGCAGTTTTCGAAGCGCCTCTTGACGCTGGGAGACCGAGATCAAAACGGGATCCTGAGCCTGGCGGAGTTCCGGGAACTGATGCACGCGTTTGGCAACCCCAACAAAGACAAGGAGGTGAGCATTCAGAAACGAGGTCATTGGCGGTCATTGTCCATCGCGAGGCTGATCTGCGGTGAGTGATGATGAAAACGGACGTCATGAATGCACCCTGTTTGAGAGATCTAGTCTGGATGAAATCGAAAGAGCTGAACTGCAACCTTGCATTTACCGATAACCATTCGCCGTTCGATGGCATAAAACATCGTTTGTCGGAAGTGTGATAGCAGAATGTCCTTGATAGAATGCATCGCCACAGCCGGGTTCCTTCCCTCGTTCCAGATGGAGGAGCTGTTTCAGACTGCCGATAAAAACGGGGACGGGATAGTCACGACAGACGAGCTGGCGGAACTGGTGGCGGTCGATGCAGAAAAGTGAGGACCCACGTCATTGTCTCTGTGCCGGGCAATGATGAGGTCGCACCAGGTTACATTTTCGCACCAGGTTACATTTTCGCACCAGGTTACACTTTCTGCTGTTCTATCCAACGACTGTTTTGGGCGAAGACGTGATCGCAAGTGTATCGTTCTGCTTGAGATTCTGAAGACAACTTTGACTGTAGTGACGGGCTTGTGTGTGGCAAAAGCGCTCGGCCCGAGGGGACAACTAGACGGAGCGGTTTTGTGGCGCAGGCACCCGTTGCTGCAGCGGTGCCCGGTGTGCGGGGAGGACATCAGTGACAAGGACGCGCTGAACGCGGTGGTGCACATGTCGCTCTGCTTTAATGAGGGCTCCACCAACACCATCATGACCGGGGGGTTCCTAACCGAGGCGCAAGCCACCCACGGGTGAGGGGGGCTAAGAGAATCTAGATAGGGTCCAGGGTATGGTGGGTTTGCGTACTTTTCTTCGCCCCCTAGAGGATTCAAAGAAGATGTTTGAGCTCTGAATTTCCAAGGCATTACACTAAAAATGAGGATGTAGTGTACGTCGTCAATTTCGGAAGTTGTACTAACGACTTAACAGCAGTAGTCAGGGCTCGGACGACCGAACATATTGGTCTCGCTGGGACGGAGCAAGGGAGGCAGTGTTTTGAACTTCCACAGATCCTCGGATTTTCACATGGGCTTGGCAAGACAGGTGATCTAGGTGATCTAGGGTAATGTAGTGGAAAGAGACGGGTCGAGCAGAAAGGTCCCGAAAGCCAGGATTCTCATATCCCTGGACAATGAAGCGCTGCTCTCTTGATACCGCCAGGTGGATGTTCCGAATGAGCGAGTGGGCGCACTGGTCCAGCTACGACGTGGGGCTGCACCAGGGCGCCAATGCGAGCCACATCCTGGTGAGCGCTCGATCTTGCTTGGCATCCAAGAGTTGGCCTTCTGATAGTTCTAGGCTTGTCCTTATTTTCACGCAAGATCCTGAGAACAGTACAGCTTACATCTGTTTTAAGTTGATTCAAGTTTGGCGCAGAGTGTTGTCATGCTGGTGTTGTACTGAGGCAGTCTGGCAGAGCAAAGGATGTAAGCCCCAGGTCAATTTGAGCTGAGACAGTGTGAACGCCGTATTGCATTCTTCTGTTTGCAGATTTCTGACTCGCAGCAAATGTCATATCTCCTCAAAATCAGTGTGGATGAGGCAACTCTTACAAGAGGGCCCTTGCCGAACGATATCCTGAGCAGTGTGTAGATGTACTGCTGTTCCCTCACCCGGCAGGTATTCGACCGGACGCAAAAGCGGCTGCGCGAAGAGTTGATTGACAACAAGATCGTGCTGGCCATGCGCGCTATCTACCAGTCCAAGCTCGGCCTCGTACTCCTCGACGCAGGCAAGTCGCCTCTACGAGTTTGTCTAATCATATCTGCCCCTAATCCCTTTAGGAAACCGGAAAGAGGTAGACCCCATTCAAAGAAGCATCAGCCAACAGCAGAAATAACTAGCGAGCTAACAATCAATGGACAGCACGGCGTACGATAAGCGTCATAGCAATCCTGGGGCCGCAAAGTGAATGGACGAAAGAGAAACTGCAGCTTGAAGTTAGCTTGGGACTGTGCTAGGTTCAAGGCTGATGATGTATGAGGTTGGCTGTCATCATATTCGAGCGGAAAATATGGTTCGCCTTGAGACGATAGCATCGGCGTCCTGTTTCGGTAGGCCAGAGTCACGCATTTCGAATGTGCAACGAGCAAGAGTATTCACTTTCGCATGGGCAGTGCCGAGATAACACCTTACAAGGCACCTGGACGTCAAAGGAATAATCTTGATGAGCATTCTCAGCGAAACAGAGCAAGCGTCTGGGTGTGCTGGCAACCAAGCAACTACTGAACACTAATGATACTAGCAGGGTTGCAGACTAGCTTCCCAGAAGCTTTGCTTACGGGCGAGAACTTTTTGAAAGGGCCTTACGATTACTAGCCTTAGATACAGCTTTGAAGTTAGCGGAGTAACAAGGAGCCTTCAGCGAAGTTGACGTTCGTTATGATGGATAATAATAAGCTCCGACTAACCCTAAAAACCCTGACCCAAAAGGGTATCTGCTTGGCACCCCTACCCACCCTAACCACAAACTAACCCTACCCGTCCCAGTGCGGTTACCTTGTTTTTATCTCCGCTTGATATGTATGTTTCTTGAGTTCGATATCATTCTGTTTGACAGGCACGCGGCGCTACTTGGCGAGCATGTCGGAGAAGCAGGGCCTGCTGATGGACAAGCCGGAGAGCGCGGCTGCCATCCCCAAGTTCCTCAAGGCATTTGAGGGCGAAATCAACGTCGACGAGATGAAGCTGCCGCTCTCCGAGTTCAAGGTGCGGCACTTGGCCCTTTCAAAGGTCTAATGCATTGCATGCTGAACCCGTGTCACCTATGCACAAACAGAACAGATGCGTTGTGGTGCCTCTGAATCTCAATATGAACTGCTCGAGAGAGCGTTGGGTTTGTCAAAGCCCATAAACGGGACTTTAAGTGGAGCACCGGGTGGAGCAATCGGATCCCAAACATCGTCAGGTGCAGCAAGCCCAAAAACGGGGAGGTGTCGATGTTCTGAGGAACAGAAAGTCCTCATGGATGTTTCGCAAGCATGATTTTATATAACCAAGAAGCTATCTACAGATTCTTCATACCTAAAAGCCAAGGGTATCTGACACCCATGTCGGAGCACTCTCGAGAAGCCGAGATGCTTGGTGCCTCTCCCTTTGCAGAGTGTCTGACACGTGGCCTCTCTCGTTCCGCAGACCTTCAACGAGTTTTTCACACGCGAGTTGAAGCCGAGCGTCCGACCAATCAGCTCGCCCGAAAATGATAACGTGGCAGTGTGCGCCGCAGACTGCCGCCTCATGGCTTTCAACGATCTCGATGCTGCCACGCGTTTTTGGGTCAAGGTGAATGGCCGCGAGATCATGCATTCGTAGGCTTTCAGGGGTGTCTTTCCGCCTCATTCAAGTGACAGCAGTTGGGCGCAGAGGAGACGGGAACGTCATATTGAACTCAAGAAAGATAATAATAAGCCAAGATAATAATAAGGTAACCGCACTGGGACGGGTAGGGTTGGTTTGGTGGTTAGGGTGGGTACGGGTGGGGAGCAGGTATCTTTTTGGGTAAGGGTTTAGTGTTGGTTGGAGCTTATTATTATCTTGGCTTATTATTATCTTTCTTGAGAATTATGAACGTCATTGCAACCAGTGCGGACTTCATGTCTCTGGCTGGTCACATGCATCAAAGTCATCAACTTGACATCTTATCCGGCAATAGCCAATCCTATTCCGCCATATGTCGTCCGCGTCTATGTAAGGCGCCCTTGTACAGTCAGCCTTCAGCACGTAGCTTGGCGCAGTGCTTGATCAATTTTGAAGGTAACGACTCTCTGGTGAAAATCGTAGCATCGGCGGTAGAAACGATGCTGACGTCACCCTTTCTCTGCAGGGGCGGAAGTTCTCTTTGGCGGGGCTCCTTGCCGATAAGCATTTGGGCAAGGAGTTTGAGGGGGGCAGCATGGCCATCTTCCGATTAGCCCCGCAGGTCAGCGCCACAGCTCAAACCGAGGGACTTTGAACTTGGTGCGCTCAATTGCGGACGTTTCACGATTCGGACGGGAAACTCAATATTCGGCCTCAGTAAACCCAGTTTGCCGCTGCTCGAGTGCGTCAATTCGGATGTCACGTTGGAAGTAGCTTCAGGAGAGTTGCCATGCGCAACATGCAGACTGGATCGAATAGTTCAAAGTCAAACTTTGGGCTTGCCACTTCAAAAGGAGAAACGTCCGGAATCGGCCGCATCAATCTTACGCGGAAATTACATCACACGTGCAACTGCAAGATCGATTTTATGGCAACAATGTTACTCTCTGCCGATATTGCTGATGCTTGAGCCTCGTTTTCTTAAAACGAGGTTGGTCTCACTTTTGTTCTCCAGATGGATCTTATCCAGACTATCAATGCTTCAGTCTTAGAAGAGCAAACAGGCCATATTGGAGCGGTTCATCTCAACCTCACGTTGGTGCGGTTTTGAATATCTCCGCAGGACTACCACCGGTTCCACTTCCCCGTGACCTGCACTGTCGGAAGCATCACCCCCGTCAAAGGTCATCTTTTCACGGTGAGCAGCCACATTCCCGAGCCTTCGGGCGCTTGTCAATTTTCTCCGGAACTGACAGCACCGGACTTGTCACAAGTCAAGCATGCCGTTCCAAGCTAGCTTCTTCGAGCCATGCCGCATATTCGCTTCAATCAGCAGTCGCAGGCGGCCTTATGTGCGCATTACATCAGAGAATCGTGGTCCAGTAAGTTAGGATTCTAATACCAAGAGATCAGGCTTTAGTCACAACTCCGCGCTCCGCCGCCGATGAGAACGCAATGATGGCGTACTGATGCCCCAAAATTTGTTGTCGTGGCTTCTTTGAATTTATCGCCGCTTTGGACGGGAGGTGCTCTTTCGTAGAGTTCCAGCATGCAGGCCTCAAGACGAACAAGAAGCGGTCCGGGCTTTGCAGGTCAACCCAATCGCAGTCAACAGCAAGTATTGCGACGTGTTTACGGAGAACAAGCGGAGTGTGGCAATCCTTAAAACGAAGGAGTTTGGCGATGTAAGAACTGCTTTTCCTCGCTCTTCCAAGTGCTTGGTTGGACAATTTGCTCTTAACAAGGTCCTACCATTATTGTTTCTGCAGAAGCAGCGCCGAAAAGAAATCCAAGGCAGTTGCCAATATCCACCTCTCTCTAATTGGAACTGGAAGCATTGGCAAAGTCTGTGAAACCAAGCAAGTGACTCTTCCCGGCATATCGTTTCGGGAGTTTCAATCCGGCTCTAGGCCGTGCAGGGCTCCTACTAAGCCTTTCCCGCAGCTTGTGAGTTTGGCGCAGCTGCGTGTTCACGCCTCTCGCCATAAGGCGACGTCAGACTCTCTGCAATGTTTTGGAGGAAAAAGTGCGTGATCCTTTGCAGGTCGCCTTTGTTGCCATCGGTGCGACTATGGTGGGCACCATCACCTTCTTGAAAAGCGTGGGAGAGCAGGCGCAAAAAGGGGACCAGGTGGGCACCGGAATTGCAGCCTCGTCGCCGGGCTTGGGCACACCAAAAACAACGTTCCTGAAAGATTGTGTGATGGATCTTAGAATGATGCTCGGACTCTCTTAACATATATGGACGTGTTCAGACGGCTTTGGAGAGTAAGGATCGCTGGTCAAATGACAGGGCCTCCACGACTTGCCACGTGGCTAGTACGCAGCTTGACGCAAATCAAGAATATGAAAGCTCCAGGACCACTCCCACAGTACTGACTACCTTCTCAAAGCCGTTTCAGAGTGCACCCACGTCCTGAAGAAGAAGACTGACTTCCTTATCGCCTCGTGACAACTCAAGTCTGGCTCTGCATTCGAACTTGCAGTTTGGCCACTTCAAATTTGGGGGAAGCACATGCATCGTCGTCTTCAAAAAGGTGAGCGCCGACTCTGTTTACCAGCAGACTGCTTCATCGTCATCTCTGCTGAACAGAGCTGAGCTGCAGAAATGCTTAACCTATGCTTTTCTCAAATTGAGTCAGGCTTCCGACCATGATGCCAATCTGCTCAAACCGTTCGCCATCCTTGTTCCCCTTGCCAGGACGCTATTTCTTTGGACGAGGATCTGATTGCAAACAGTGAACGGTCGCTTGAGACTCTGGTCCAGCTGGGGCAAACTCTAGGGGTTGCTAAGGGTAAGACGACAGTCTCCTCCTTCCTTTCTTGCCCCGCAGAAACTGCCCTTCTCCTTGTCTTCTTGTCACCGACGCCTCAAAACGGCAAAGTTGGAAAGTAGGGTCGCGTCAAAGCAGGAACATGCCGCTCTCAAAAAGTCCTTTTAAGGACTCTCAGACACGCACGTTGACTTAGTAGCAGTTTGTTACTTCTTGACGCGTCATCAGCTTTGGCTTTCTTAGCGAAGCGTCGGAGTCCGAGCCCAGTCGTTTGCTACTAATTTTCGCGTACGGTAACTGCAAACTATCAGTTACGCCGAGCTGCGCCCAAGCTAACCAAATCGTGACTGCATTACATAAGTGCATCTGGAATTAGCTAAAAGCCCGAGCGAACAAAGAAGGTGCCTAGCAGAAAACGTTGCACCTTCCGAGCTTGCCACCTCGCAACTGATCACCATCAACATCTGATTCCCTTTCGATCATTGCCAGGTGTCCCCGTCATGACGCGACGGCCGTCGATATACGACTCAGTTGTCGGGGTGGAGGGGCTGCCGTCGAGCAGGCCCCATTTCGTCACGGAAGAGACCGCCGTGCCCGGCGTTCAGCACGTGGACCTGCCGGCCTCGCCCCAAAACGAGGCCCCCTCAACCAGCGGGGAGCCGCCGAATACTCCCAGCATGAGAACGCCGCCGGCCATGCCCCGGGAACGACGAGACGGTGAGGCATCCGGATGTCCATTGCGTGCTTTAATTTGAGGATTTATTCGTCATGGTGCATTATTCCACCCAAAGGGTATGGTTGCTGAAGAAAGTATCTCTTTTGTTGTCGAAGGACCCCAAGGCAGTGACTTGAGTTTGCTTATGTGGGTTGGGATGGAGCGAGACGGGCTGGAGTCATTAATATCCGGAGCAGAAAAAGTCGCCCTGGTCCAGGAACGATTGAAATCGTGGGATTGGAGCAGAGGTTTGACCTTTTCAAGAAAGTCATCTCGACTCTGAAGGGATTCAAGTCCCTTCAGCCACAGTTTGGCCTTGAGAAATTCGTTCAACAACAAACCGGCATTGCATCGTCTGCTCTTTACGGAACTGGTAGGCATTCCCGTTATCTCGCAGCCCGGACCTCGCAGTCCAGCGACTCCAAATCCTGCTTGCCCATTTCATCTTAGCACAGAGCACAGCCTATCACGTCTCAAGCGTTTTCGTTTGCCTTTCCGTTGCAGACGGGTCGTTGACTCCGCACGACCAGGTGTACGCGAGCCTGACGAGCGAAGAGCGGCAGCTCTTAGGGGATCACGCAGCGCGGCTACAAGCAGTCTGGCGCGGCCGCACTGCGCGGACCAGTCTGAAGATGCCCGGGAACACGCCCCCGAGTGGGAACACCCCGCAAACAGTGAGTATGTTTGCCCGGTCAGGGAACACCGAGCACTCCTTTGTTGAGGCTGAGGTCTGCTTGGTCTTCACTTCAGGAAAGCGGACTTCCGAGTCAACGCTGCCTGGATGCAGGCGATCTACAAAGGCTCGAAAGAAGCCCGGCATGTGCGAGCTTGAATTTCTTGCCTTGCGAAAAGGGATGGCAATGTGCTCTGCGATCCATGGGGTCACTCGACCGTCCGAAGCAGTTGACCTTGGACCTTGCTCGCTTCTGATTTGTCATGTTGAAGCTGAGATTGGAACGTCTAGACTCCCGCATGGAAATACTCGTCTTTACTTGTTTGCGAGTTGTCGAAAGGCCGTGTTCTATAAACGGGGAAAAGCTCTTGCTGAGAAAAATTTCTAGCACTTCACTATTCAGGCAAAGGTTCCTTGCGCGTTTCCAAATGCTAGCTGTTTTAGGCTTTTCGGAAGGAATGGTGAGCTGTCGGGATCCTACGCAACACTCACATTGTCCTCAAGCGATTGACTCTGATTGCTTTTTCCCGTGCAGTCGCCGAAAGTAGACGACTCAAAAGGTCATCCTCAAAAGGCCTCGGGGACATCCAGGCAGCAAACATGAACTGCTTGTTAGCTCCTTGATTCAATACTACCATAACGTTCTACAGAGTCCCAAGAAGCTAAAGTGTTTGGCGATCAAAGTTACGTTGGGGTTGACCCATGTCGTTATCAAAGCGTCACGTTCAGTGTTTCTGTGGTCGGACTTCTGCCCTTGTCTTGCCCTCCTTCCTTACTACGGCTCGATGCTATTAGTGACGAATGGATGGGATGTAACAAGTCGAAGGTCGAGAATGGCTTTTTCCCCTCCTGTCACAAACGTAGCCTTGCATGCACGGGGGATCAATTAACTAGTGGCGCTTACATCCTTGGGAAGAACGACATTCTGGATCCGAAAATGGGGTATCCAGGACTGCGGGCGCAATAATAAAAGCCGCTTACTTCCTGTCAATGGCTTGAAAAATAGATCCTCCTCAAGCATGTTATACGTCAGTGCATCATATACCGGGCCGTATGTTACGCGTTTTTATAAGCGCTCTGGAACATTGCATGTGCTGCAATCCGGCCTAGGCTGCCCTGCCTTTCAGGCATCCAACCGAACAAGCGGCCCCGTGGCCAGGGCCTGGCCAGCCGGGGGCCCACAGGATCAAAATACAAAGTTGTCAGTATAACCATTGTACGCGTGCGACAGTCACAGTGCATTGAACACGTCTTGATCAATGGGTCATCGAATGGGACGGATCGAAGTTCTGCGTGACCTGCTGCATGCGACAAACATGTGATGGCCTGACGTTTGCAAATGCATATATATGTCAAAAGCGATGTATCATGTGTGTTGAGGCAACAACACAGCAAGAATAATTCCGGGGTCACTGGCTACTTTGCGGCTCCGTACTGTAAAGCAAGGATTAAGGAAAGGCTGATGCTGAGCTACTTGATTCATGCATGGGGTTTTCGTGCATGTACGCCAGAAGCCGTTAGCTCTTGTCAATCATTGAGTTTGGTATGGTGGGCACGCTCTCGAGTTCGACGGCTATTCGGGCTATGACACTCAGAGGATGCTTTGCTGCGTCGTGCTTTCGAGATGGAATACCAAGCATTTGGTGCGGTGCATACGGAGTTGTCGAGCTTTATTGGCTCATCGCTTTCAGGGCTGGAAGGACCGAGTCGCGCAGTATGTTGGCCGGTCGATCAATCTTCTGTGGGCTCGAAGATGTCGTTTGCTGGACGTCGCCTTGTGAACGATTGACGCCAGAGTTGCCAGCCAAGTGCTCTTGTCGTTTCTTGTACTGGACAAGGAGAAGCTTCTAGGGACGAACGTAATGTGTCCGGCTTCACCAACCACAGTTAACGCCCTTAACTATCAGCGCCTTCCACTGTCCATTTGCGTCAACCGTCCGAGAACTGCCGTGTTCTTTGGCGCCCGATTGTTCTTACTTCCAGCTTGTCATTCTGGGCTTGTCGTGAGTTCCACGCAATGCAACGGTTGCTCGTTCGTCACGTTAATCATCATCATCATTATCCGGACTCATGATGCGACGGGGTTTCCGGCACAGACTCATTGCATGGTTACAAAGCCATGTTGCGTGGCTCGAACACGTGCCTCATGGACATTCTCGTGCCGTTTACTCCTCAAGAACTCAAGGAATCTGTAGGCGTTCATTGGCCTCGTCTTACCCTTGTTGCATACTGGGCATGACTGGGAAGTCGGACTCCTTGGCCCGTTTGTAGAGGATGGCGGAAGCTTCGAGCCTGAAGGGAAACATGCGGCCTGCTAGAGATCACGCGCCGATGCCACGGCTGCTTTGAGCGAAGCATTGATGGCAAGCTTCAGAACCGAGGCGGTCGGCTGCACGAAAAGAAAGACTACTGCCATAGAGGAGCGAAACGGGTTGCTTTTTACAGCGACTACTCACCAGTGAGGATTCACCACGTGGCGGTTGTTCTTGAGAGCCCAGTGAACCTGCAAAGCGAAGAGCTCGGAAACTGTAACCTGCACTTCATAACATGGTATAGGCAGAGCCAGGGGCGCAATTGTACGAGACAGTCCGTCTTCGGCAACAGAAGGTTTTGATGGGCGGAATTGATTACGACTCGACATATCTGGAGCCAGAAAACGTTGATCACGAGTATGACTCCAGGGCCGAAATCCTTGCGGAGACGTTCCCCCGCTACCTTGTCGGTGCCCAAGGCCACGGCCACCACGTGGGTGACGGACTCGTCCAGCTTCAACGTACACGTGGCACCAAACTGCTCCGCCATGCGCCATTTGCCGTTCTGCTGCGGGTGCGCCGTCCCTTGCTGCAGCAAAGAGAGCGGCCGGAACCGACCGGCTCAGACAGCGGAGAGTTTTTTCCAATCAGAATTGCGCAGGGCGCGTTGCAAGCGCAAGCGAGTAGCTATGGAAAACATCCGGAAGAGGAAAAGCACAACAAGCTCGTGATACGGGAAGCAAGCTTGGCGTGAAGCTGGTCAGAACAACGTCAGGTCGACAAAGCGAAGACGTTGCAATCCTGATCCGGATACAGATTAGGCCCAGCTGTCTAGCTTGAACTAATCGACAGTCCAATTCCAACTCGGCTCCGTAACAGATGGCCAGGTATGATTTCCTGCTTCCCCCGCCACACGCAAGCCTTCCTCACCGGGAACACCCTGCTGAACACGATCCGCACTCCCTGCAAAATACTCTTCTGGATCTTCTGCAGGATGTCCCGGGCATCCACCCGGGCTGCATCGCCATGTGCCCGGAGCGCCCGGAAGAAGTCCCCGTGCACTTGCTCCATCACCCGGGAAGCTGACGCCAGCATGCCGTCGTGCGCACGCTCGTCGTGGCCCAGCTCGAACAGCGCCGGGCCCTTCTGGCCGAACTGCTGCGGGCTGCCGGGGAAGTACATGTACCTGCTCAGGGGACGAGAGCCGAGAATAAGTATTGAACTCAAGAGATATTTCGACAATCAGCCGAGATAAATACAAGGTAACCGCACTGGGACGGGTGGGTTAGTTTGGTGGTTAGGGTGGGTATAGGTGCGGAGCAGGTGTCTTTTCGGGTTGGGATTTTTAGTGCTTATTATTATCTTGGCTTGTTGTCATATTTCTTGATATTTATAGAAATTGGCAGGCCCCGTTTGCAATACCATACCTCACAGTCGGAAGGAGCTGCCAAGCACAGAAGCTTCATCTGCGTGGAGAAGTCAGCTGAGAATCGAGCTGGTCAGAGCTGCATCGCAAGCTGCAGCGATCAGAAGCTCGTGGAAGCAAAGGTTGTCTGGGGGACCGACACAGGGTACTGGACCGGATCTTCCTGAGACGCTCGAGGAGGCAGTCACAAAAGAGATATCCGAAGGCTGATGCTTTTGTCAGCCCCAATCCAAACAAAATGTTCGGTACCCAAACACACAAGGAGAGAAAATGCCAGCGCTGCGGTGCCCACCTTTCGACGACGATGAGGTTTTGGAAGTGATGCGGCCACACTTTGACGTTGTCGTCGATGATGAGGACGCAGGACTCCATGCCCAGCACGCCATCCAGATCTTTGCTGCGCAGCGGGGCGGGGGAGTCCCCCGGGGCAGATGGGGGGTCCTCCAAGGTGTCGCCTTTGCTGATTATCCGCCCGGCGAAGTAGTCCCCGGTCGGGTCCAGGATCTGGGCCATGCGCGTAGCGTAGACGCTATTTCCCATGGTATAAACGTGAAGCTCGTACAGCTGGCTAGCCTGAACGAGAGAAACCGAGAGGGATTAGCTTCATGAAAGAGTGGCAGGGAGAGGACGCAACCAGGCGGAGGCCTATGACTTCTGAGCTCGATATCAAAGCAAGATCGCACTGATTGAGCAAGTACAAAGTCTTCAATAACTGGTTCTTAACCAGTCGGCTTTTCGAAGGCTACCGCCTTGAACAGCATTAGATTTTCACCAATCATTCACACAGCAGGCACGGACGTAACAGGAACAATGAAGCATTCCTGCTTAACTTCAAGTTCCATGGCATAGCAGGGCGGACCAGTTTCCACAAAAAATCACAGTGGCGTGACTCTCAGCAGTGACGTCAGCAGTACGCTGTCACCTTCTTGAGGAAGGTCGCGACGCCTGGCCGGAGCTTGGTCCACAGCTGCATGTCTGCGAAGCGGTGCAGCTCGCGCGGCCGAACGGGGTCGGCCCGACACGCCGCGTCCTCCCCCGCCAGCTTCGCCTCCAGCTTCTCGGCCCACCCGGGGCCCGCAGTCGCGATGTCGGAGAACTGCGCATGATGAAAGATGATACGACCATCATAGTCTGCTTTGACGTTGCTTCCAGACAAAGTCTGCCAGATTCTCGAGCTTATCTGGAATCTGCTTTGCAGCTAGATGTCAAGCTGAGGTTCGACGATCGTTGATAGGGGACAAGCAGTCGCAGGCTCAAAGTACGCAGCGCAGAGCATAATTGCTCAAATCGTAGTCCGCACCAGCTTCTCCTCGGACTTGAATCTTGATTGGCGTTCTTTCTGGAACACGGATTTACTCACGTCACAAAAAAGGTGGGATTGCATGGATACAGCAAAACGGGGCCTTCGACCTAGCATGGTGCCGTGTATCCAGTCTGGACATCCCTTCCTCTTTTCTTGCGTATTTCCGCGTCTTGCAAGCACCACCGTGAGCAAGCCGTGTCCAAAAAGCAGACGCTGTTCCTTATTCCAGTTCTGTTGTCCTACACGGGCCTCCCGACCACCCACCGTGGCAGAGTTGAGCAGCGTGTGGTCCAAGTCGAGCACGAGGCACAGCTTCTTGGCCGCCAGCATCCGCTTCTGCTCGCCCAACCTTCGCTCCCGCTCTAGTTCCACCGCTGCCCTCTCCTTCTCGCCAAGCCCGCTCAAAAGGGCATCCACATGCGGATCCCCGCTGATCGCCGACTGGTTCCCGCCAGGAAGCCCGTCGCTCGGCACACGCGCTTTTTTCAAAATGCCCTTTAACTTGCTTACCCCGTTCGACACAGGGCCTTTCGTTTCAGACCTCGTCTGGCTCTCAGGCCCGGCTTTTCCTGGGGGCCTTGCTGGCGTAGGGTTGCTCGTTACCAGCTGCCCGCTTCCCTGCCTTTCGAGCCCGTCCCTCGATCTTGCCCCCTCGCTCTCCGCCCCACTCAGTATAGCCGATTCCACGCTATCCGCGGTTGACAACGTTTGCGCACTATTCCTCGACTGCCCAGACTCTTGCACACTCTCCACGGCCCTCGAGCCCCTCTCCCCGTTTCCAGCCTCTTTCAAGGGCTGCGCGTTCTCGCGGGGGGGCGCTTTGGGCGGCCGTCCCAGGTTCGAAGGCTCCGTACCCTTACCCCCCTGCGGCGTTGGCTTTCGAGAAGTCACGACCCGCGACCCGCTTAACGCGGGGCTGGCAGCGCGGGTGGGCGCTGGGCTTTGGCTGCGCGAACCAGCGGGGCTGGGGGCTCTAGAAACAGTTCCCTTTTCCAATCGACCGGGCTTTACTTCGACCGAAACTGCAGCCGTCGCAGGAAGGACCGAGGAGTCAGTCGGACCGTACGACGAGGCGCTTTTCATCTGGAGCCCCTCCTTCCCTCTCGCTGCTCCTTCAAAGCCCGGAGGTTTTTCCTGCGTTCCACTTTCGTCTTGCCCTTTCAGCCGCCGCCGATTGCCGCTCGCTGCACCTGACGGCCTTTCCCAAGGCAAGCCCACTTTTCTTGCCGCCGGAGCCTGCAAAGCCCGGGCCTTTACGACCGAATTTTGCGAGGCCCCACTCGCAGAAGCTGGCGGAGCTGGCGGCGCAAAACCCGGAGGCTCTAGAATCTCCTCTGGCAGATCGTCGTCGTCTTCGAGTGGGGACGGTTTCGGATTTGGAAGCTGCCCCCCGACTGCATCAATCAGGGGCCTTTCTTGCAGCTTCGGAGGCAACAGCACAGGCTGCCAGGACTCCGCTTCAGGACCCCCCGGGGGGCCCAGCGGAGCTGCCTGCAAACCTCTGATAGGCTGCCCGAACAATCTAAACCCGGGCGGAAGGTCGAGACCCTTTGAGGGGGCAGCAGAGGACCCTGCTTTTGGTTGGCTTTCGTCGTCAGAAAAGGCCTCTTCCATGAGCTCTAGCGGGGGACCGGGCTGGGAGCTTCGCAATTGCACTTTGGGCTGAGGTGCCTTTTGAGAAGCGGTGGAGCTGTGGATGTCAAATCCGGGGGGAACGGAAGGGGGGGTGAACGGCTGAGAGAATCCTGGGGGGGGCGCAGACGGATCGACCGGCAGACTGGTGTTGGCTGCGGGTTTGGGGACTTGTTCTGTTCCGAGGGGTTGGGAAGCCCCTCGCGACTTGCCTTCAGCGTACGCCTGAGCATCCCTTCGAAGAGCGTCCAAATTTTCGGAGAGAGGCTCTGCGATAATGGCCAACTCTTTGATTGAGGGCATCGCCTCGACGCTGGCCTTAGAAACGATTGGCACGTTTGCAGACGACGAAGCAGGGGCTGGATTGCAGGTTATGGAAGGGGCGGAGGTGGGTGCTTGGGATGATGTTACAGCAGGGGGCCCCTGTCGAGTCGCAGCAGCGGGCAGGTCCGTGGATTTCCCAGCTGCGCCACTGGGGGGGGACTTGCTGACTTTGCTGGTGAGATGCTCCAACCAGCTCTCGACCTGCCAAGAAGCAATTTCGAGGCGGTTTAGTAATCCGACTGAGAAGAGGGTGGCTGTCATTCAGCAGATCTAGCAAAGGCAAAGGCAGCATGCAGAGGGTCACAAGGACACAAGGGCATGACGATGCAGGTGCATAGAACTTGGCCGGAAGGAAGTAGTCAGTCCTTACAAGATGCCACACGCTACCGACTCTGCTTGGCAAAGTATCCGGAGCCAGGATGACAGATTGAGGGTATGCTCATACCTCTTTGAATTGCTTCGGTGTGAAGAGCCGACCCATGTCCTTGTGGGCCAGCTTGATCAAGCTACAAAGAACAGAGATGCTAACTCTTCAGGTTCACAAAGGCAGCTGATTTGACCAGTCCAGCAAATCGGCAATCCACCACCTCGCTCGGGCTTTGCATGGCATACATAAGACTTTCAAAGTGACCCTTATCCTTTACAATCCCGGGTCAGGTGGAGAACCCCATTGCGATTTCCAGTGCATGGTTCAGGTCAATTGAGAAGCATGTACAAGAATCATTTACTCACAGATGGCCCAATGTTTCCACCTGCACAAGAGGATGGTGTGTTCGAATCCAGACGAGACTGCATCGTCGAAAGCTGCCACCAATAGATACTTCAAGAAGAAACCTGCTTTACAAATTAAATTAAACTTGTCAAGAAGAAGCTTTACAAGACGCACTCACCTCAGCACAGCGTTGTCTTTCCCCTGGTTGCGCCCTGCTCCGGTAGTGCCAATGATGTATGCAGTCCGGATGCCAAAGAAAATGTCGTCAGCAGCTTTTGAAACCACTTCTCGTGGCGCCCCCCCCTTTTTGCTGACGGCCTTGCACAGGTGCCAGACGGCATCCTCCAAAGTCTGGCATACAGAAGCTAACGACCTGAGCAGAGAAAAGCGTACTTGAGATAAGAGCAGTGCGCGCTCTGAAAACATACGGAGACTCAGGAAGGGACACAGGATCGGAAAAGGCGCCCTGTGCTCAGGTGATGGTCAAAGAACAAGTCTGCCATGCTGCTCAGTGAAGCTTATCATAGCAACTCTTCCTCACAATGCAATCGAAAAGCAGCTTTGAGTATGACTCCATAAATAGTTGATCGAAAGCGAAGAGGAGCGCATGCATCCCAACGTAGATGATATAAGCAGGCGGCATATCGCCGAGTCCAAATTGCTCACTTCATCGCCTGCTGCAAGGAGACCTTCCCCGCCAGTGCGTCTGCCTCCCGCAGCAGCCGGGCCTGCTCCGCAGCTGCATCCCGCTCCTTTGGCGATCCCCTTCCAGACCTGGGGCTACGCCGATCCCCCTCCTTCTGCCTGACCTTGTCAACCCGGTCCCAGAACTCTTTCACAATCGCCCCTACTGAACCGACCGAGTCGGCCCTTCGCTCCCGCCTGTCCTCGCCCCTCGGTGCGGACCGGTCTCTAGAGCTTCGGCCATGCTGCCTGCTCTCCCCGCCTCTCTTTGAAGAGCGGTTCCTTCGCTCTCGAGAGCGAGACCTCTCACGCCGCCTCCTCTCTCGTTCCTGGCTCTGACTCCTGGCGCGGTAGCGCCGCTCGCGACCATCTTGAGGGCTTTTTGACAAGCGCCGCCTCCTTGGACTGCGCGATCGATCGCGCCCCCTGGGTGACCTGGACCCTCGCCTAGGGGACCCCACCCTGCTCTTCATGGGCCCTCGTTCATGGGATTCGCTCACATTGTCCTCTTTGACGCTTCTGGCAGAAACCCCTGGAACCGCTTCGCTTTCAGGTTCAATCTCCTGCTCAGCCACCGCGTCAACAGCGCCATCAAGATCGTCGTCCGCAATCTCCCCTTCCTCCAACTCTCCCTCTTCTTTCTCCCCATTGTCCAACGCTGCCTCTGCCGAAAGCCCTGTTTGTTGTTTGCGGCTCTCTTCAGAGATCTCAACAGACTGTGAATGGCTAAAAGTTCGCAAGAGAGACTGGTCTCTTCTCGCTGGCGAAGAATCCTCCCTCTTGATCCTTTTTGATGGCGACAAGCCCTCTGTCCAATCCTTTCTCGAAGGGGAGACGTCGTCTTGCCAGCCTGAACCTTCTGACGCTGTTGAATACTCGGATTTAGACTCTTCTTCCGTATGACAAGCTCGGGCCCAGGCAATGTTAGGATGCGAGTAGAGGAGGGATGGATCACTGATGGGGGGGTACGAAAGATCTTCAGCTGCGGATCCCTTTCGCAAGGCCCAGAAGAAACGCCCCTTCCCATGTTTTGGAACTCGGAGGGCGACAGTCTGTGGGACAGGGTGCCCCGCTGGAAGACTTGCCCCTTGACCAAATAAGTCGACTTTTCCTGCTGCATTTGCTGCGTCCTCGGAGCTAAACCCATCTCCTGGTCCTGCCGGGCTCTCTGCGATCTCGCCTTCTTCCTGTTCGCTGTTCTCAGAGACAGCCATAGACTGCTGCAACGACAGCATTCGACAGATTGATTGTGAGAGGGGTGGACCATCCCAGTCAAAGCTCGGGGTGGTTTTCATGAGCAGGATAAGTTGGGAGTAGACGCGCAACACGGAGTGGTCACCTCACATAGACACCGCTTTCATGACATTCCACCCAGTGATCCAAAAGGTGAGCCAGAAAGATTTGAGCACATTCAAAGCGCCAGGGTTGCCTCCTTTTATGAGCCTTTGCTGCCTGTTGCCATTCTGCGATAACTTCTACCAGTATCATGTCTTGCACAATGGCCTCGTCGCAACAAGCTAAACTGATTCACCAGGAAGCTCCACACTTTTGCACACAGGGTTCTCAATGGTGTCATCCTGCGTGTGTACCCCCAAGCACACCAGTGCTCCCAAGCGCCAGGTTACCTGTTGCAGGAGCCCCATGAGAAGAGAACATGCTGCACCCTTTGCAACCGCGATTGACAACATGCTGTCCACCGGGGGTATAAATAGTGCTGGTTACCAGCTTTGCCATAATCACC